TATATCTTATTATTTTTTATTTAAATTAATCAATTGAAATAGTAAGTAGCAACATGTGTATAAAATTCCCTATCTTTGGAATGCCTGATTTTCATTATACATAATTAATTTGAAATAGACCAAATTGGAACCAGTAACAATAACACATTCGGTGATCAAGCAGAATTAGGCACACGACGTCATCGTGTGTAAACGGTCAAAGAGCAAGGTTCATAATAGTTGTCCAAGCCCTAGTTCAACCTCTCCTCATGATTGCGCCTTTGGATATGTGTTTAGGCTTGTAAAATTGGAATAATATAAGCCTTACGATTCCTAGTAGTCGGGAAAACAAAATAGATGACCTTTTTGTTAAAGCCTACACATGGAGATTCTTGATAATGGCATATGAAGTTCTTTAATTGTACCACACATCTCTGAAACACAACGCAGTTAGTCCTTTTCATTGGTATATCGATGTGGGGATCCTGAAAGCTACGCTTTCTGGGTGTCAATGAGAAAAAGGCACGAAGTTTTACATAAAAAAGGATGGAAATACCCGTCAACTTCCTAAAGAGAAGAGTCCAAGGGGATAAGATAGCGTAAGAAAAAGAAATATGCCATACTCCATTTAGATTATGTTGACTATCTACGTCAAACCACTGACCGTGGTCACATATATTTTCTGCCACATATCCAGATTCCTCATTCTCTACACATTGTACCAATAGCATCACAACGAAAACCTGTCATGCTCCACCTGAAAGTGCACTGATTACTTCGATCGAGCTAAGGTCATATGTAATGTCAGCCACATGTAAAGAATTTCATTTCCTGCTTAAAGCATAGCTTCCTTCATAAATTCAAGGCTCCAGGGATGGTTTCATGCTGGCATTGGGTCGCTGGTTGGTTGAATGGTGGAGTCAAGCTGCAAGACCGATCTCCCGTGCCATCGCCAACAACGAGATCTGCTATCCAGACGGATACGACCAGATCTGAATCATGTAAAGAAGGAGATGGCATGAATCGTGACTCTCCTATTTGATATTGACTTTGCTCTAGGATCTCAATACCTTCAATTTCGATAAAGTCTCGCGACCGACGAAGCGAAGCAATAACTACACAGAGAATTGGACCTACAGAGTGACAAGCACACTTTTTCTTTTATCGTGCTCGAGTTCTCAATTCCCTTCATTCCTGTCACTATATATAATCGATCATGCTCAACTTGATCTTTAGAGAGTGGCCAGTGGATGATAAAACGATGTTCGTGTCCAATGAAAGAGAAAATTCAAATAAACGGGAGAAACGGGTCACTCCGTGATAAATAAATATATGTTTTACGATATTTACAGTCAAGATAAATCGAAACTTTATTGTACTACTTCACGTGATTGACCTTCTATACTTTATGTGTATATTTGGTAGTGATTTCTGTAGAGAGATGTAACACACCATCTAAAGTAAGCTGCATGATAGATTGAGAAAATTGACCTTGTCATCTAGTATACTAACCATTCATACACTCAAACATATTATATTTATCATATGTAAATTCACATAATTTTTGAAGCTACAAATAAAAATAAAATGATATTCTTACATGTCTCTAAAATTAGAAGCTTTCGATTGTGCTGTCACATTCGTCGCCTATCAAAAAGACGGATAATCTACACCTAACTCGGATATATGTTGGATAAAAAATTATCTCATCCGCAATCATAGTATGATAATCTGGAACTCTGTTAAGATTTCCCCTTATTCCCATGCATCATAAAAAAGTATTATATCTTATATGGCATTGTCAATAATTATCTTGTGTAATTCAATAAAACTTGCACGGACCAGGCTTATTTATTCAAAAAATAGATTTTTGTATGAAATAGAAAATTGCTTGTTTTTCTTTAGTTAATTCAAGGCATTGTGTCCAATGATTCCTGTCAAATTTAGGATATTATCACATATAGAGGCTTCATGTGATTGGATGGATCCCAGACGAACCTCATTGCTATGATATGCTAGTCAAGATTTATTGCATTCTCCAGTCAAGAGACAATATTTTTGTCTATTAAATTCACACAAGTGAGTTATCTGAGAAGAAAGATCTTGTAAAATGTGTTAAAACTTTCGAAACATTAAATTAAAGATAAAATTTCTCAGTCTACCTTTAATAAAAGAAAAAACTAGATAAACATTGATGTTGCACTTTTTTTTTCAATTCTGTATCAATTTAAATTATTTGTCATGTTATAATTATGTTATCACACTTGAGAATATATAAATTTATAATTAAAAAAGACAAAAGTGCTGAGAATATACAACTTGCTATGAGTATAAAATATGTTACTCAAATCAAATTGATCTGTTATAGTGTATCATAAATCTCATCGGAAGCTTTGAACGAGGAGATATGATTCTATTACACCATATACTTTACTTTAAATCTTTTGATTCACATTTTTTTCGGAGGTCCCCGATTGTTTACCCAATCAGAGTGAGGGAAATTATTTAATTAAAATTTGATGTATATCACATGATGCACTCGCTGTGACTTATGTAGATGTAATCATATTTCTCATGTGAGACACGTGATAATTACTGTTGTGTATCTTACTGACGTAGATAATTAAATCGAATTATATAAAAATACATGATACACTAGACATGGTTTATTCTATCTATCACAAAGTTAAGAAGAAATAGTGTGGGTTCCATAGAGGCGATGGAGAGTGGGATGGCCAGAAAAGAAAAAGGCCTTGCTCTTGTTTGAGCGCATCAAAACAACTATAAGTCAATGAATTTTGTTTAAAGAATTTATTACGTTTTTAAGTTTGTTCTAAAATAGAAGTATTAATAAAAATTATTTTGACTAATTTTGATTAAAATTCAATTTTCTTTTCTTCGTTTTTGCGTGTACATGCTTCTTGCATCGATCATCTCACCGCCTCCACAACTAAACATCCAAAAATACATTCTTCATAAGTTTGCAAAATTGCTTTCGACCACATCATGCCGCAGAAATTTGCTACACATTTGCAACATTGCATGAAATGCAGGGCAAATGCAAATCATCCACCACTCACACAGGTAGAGAGATTTCTGACATCGATTCTCCAATCGCTTTTTGGATCGTGAAGTGTAACCTTTGGAAGCTTGCTGAGAATCATGGAACCGAGTTGAATCTGGGAATGATCGAGCCGATGGCTCTCTGGCTGTAGTCGGTGAAGGTCACGTCACTATCTTGATGGCCTCCCTCTCCTCTCATAATCTGCAATTCCACTTCGAGCTTGGACTTGGAGCTGTTTCATCAACACTGTCTTCGAACCATAAAAACTCGCAGCGATGATCACAATTCGACGCCCTGATCTCGACCCAGATTTTAATAGCATTCGAGCCCTCGCATCCTCGTTCTTCAGAGCAGTCCCAGTCTTAAACACATGTTAAGAGTCCAGTGTCCCCATTGTCGATCGGAATATAGATCTGTCCAGTTTTACATCAGCAGAATTCCTGCAATCGGCGGTATGCGATAGAGTAACAAGCTCGTTGAGACGCTACCTCCGCATCCACGATTTGGAGATTGGACATCGATTTGTAAGTCCGCGAGAATCATCGCCAACAAAATTTGATTGGCGTTGGTCAAAATCAGCTTATGAGAGTCTTGATTTGAAAAGATGGGTTGGTCAAGAAAACGGGGCCATCGCCCCATCCGTATTGCATTGCACTGCATTGCTCGATCGATCGATCGATCGAGCCGACTGAAAGTTGACAATGAGCACATAACCACAGCTAATCATCATCGTTTTGTCCACGAACGAAACTTGGCGCCAAGAGCCCCGTGCTTCCTTTTTCACTTTTTCCGAAGTCAACCTGTGCTTTCTTCGCTTCTCCTCCACATTGATTTCTTCTGCTTCCGCTTTCTCTTTCTTCTTTCAGCACCACTGCTTTCCATTTTGCAATCACATGACCGCCATAGCTCTCCTCACCTCAGCCCGGCCGAAATTTGGGAATTTGATGGTGGGCCACCCACATGCTCCTTCTCGGATCGATCTGGCATTTGGTCCAAATGCTTAGATCAAGGACATCATTCCCTGATGAATGACTGCACACGACAGCGATCCTCGAGAATAATCATTGTTCTGCTACAAGGGGAAAAGACACTTTCCTCAGCTTTTTCTACTCCTTCCAATAATATTATTTTAGTATTATAATGATCTTGACAACCTTTAAAACTTGCATGAAGAGCACCTACAATGACGGGCAACTCTTGGGGCATCATGGACTGAACTGAACACAAAAAAACATCAGAAAAGGTTATCTATGATCTGCTTCTCCAGGTGGAAGTCATCATCAACTGGTCCAGAATTTCACAGGTATTGAATTGGATCCATTGGAAAGATCATGTTTTTTGAGTTGTTCTCGTGTTAAGTATGAAAGTTACTATTAAAGTTATCAATTGAGGTTATGGGAAGTAGTCGAATGCTATAGCTAATACAGAAGAGTCAATAGTAGCATCATGCACTTTAGTCTTCAAATGGAATATACGCTGATTAATTGCTCCAACCTAATATCAAATGTTGACTTTGGCCGTCATACCCCATTCATGAATGATAATAAGAAGCTTTCGCTGAACCGGTGTTAACTGCCTTTGTCCTTCCCGATTGATAGGTCTGCAGGAGTAAAGTGTCAGGTCGGCCAATCAACCACGTCGCCTCAAACGAAGCGGACCTCTCCCATTGGTTATATTGATGGAAAGAGAGGGAAATGGTAGAAAGTAAAAAATGGGGGCCGATCCCTTGCCTTCAAAAACTGAAGACAGAACTCACCCACCTTCTCTCCCAGAGTCTTTTCTCATCTCCATGATGTTCTTGGTGGTATGGAATATGGAGCAGAACTTTTGAAGGAACAGGTAACACTTTCGGTGTTAGTGAAGATTGCTTGGCTTTCACAGTCGCTCATAAAGCCGAAAGCTAATGCCGACGATGTATTTACTTGTATTTACTCTTTTTCATTCACAAGGAACGGTACACGACACTTGATTACAGAAGAAACCCTGTCAAATCTTACATTCTACAGATTGAATTTTCTGAGTACGATACATGATTTGACTTTCAGTCTAACAGCATGCAGGTCATCGCAAGGGGCGATGCGAGGAGCACATTTTGAGTTGACGAACTGACTTAGTACCTCTCCAACAAGTCCGCTGAATGAACTGGAGCTTTGGTCAATGTGTAGCTGAGCTTTCCTAGATACATCTTCTAATCCGAGAGATTCCCGTTATGGAGAGTTGACAACCTGAGCTGCTCATGTTGATCTAATTTTTACAAGTATACAGACTTGATACCACAGGTACACGATACCACGGCTCTTCAGACCTGTCAATTGAGGAGAATCTCAATCGGTTTTCTGTGCTAACATGCCCTTCTTGAGACAACCGGGCGAGTTGATCACCGGTAGCATGGACTCTCTCACATACGAGCTCGAGCGCGAGAAAGCTCGAGTTTGGCAACAGTTCCGAGGTGAACTTCATCTGGACCATCTGCGATACGTAGACTTCGTGCAGTTGCCCACAGGTGAGCAAGAGGGAAGTCCGAGCATACACCCGCACCTCCGTGGACTTGAATTGCAGCATCCAATACCTTCAAAGCCGTCCTAGGTGCTGCCACCTACAGCGACAATTCCAAAAGTTGGACTAAAGTTAGAACGCCGAAGAAACACGTGAAATTGGTCGTGCCACATTCTTCGAGAACCTCTGGAATTAACATTCAAATCATATGGAAGTTTTGCCACAATAAACAAAAAATAGTATCATAGTCAATTTCACAACGAAAAACAGGAGTAACTGACTAATTTGCAAAACAACCACTTACTTTGGCCATAGCAAGAGCTCCACGGGCTACTTTATTGCCATGCATATCAAGCTGGTTCGCAGCATGCAACACGAGTAATCGAGTCTGTTCCACCTCGATCCGTAACTGAGACAATAGGTGCAAAGTCACGGCAAATATCAAAACACTTTGTCAAAGAATACCTTCAACACAAAAGAAACCTCTCAACCGATATGGCAACCAAGACAAGCAAGAAAACAATATAATCAACTATTAGGAACTACTTTTGATGATCATCTTGAGAGAAAGATGTTGCCATATAAATGTCCCAAAAGAAAATCTACTGCGAAAGAGAAGGAACGGATGCCTACAAAGATCAAATCCAGTTGCAGTCCATCTGTTCTGAAGCAGAATTTCTGAAAGTTTCGGTAGAAGCTATACATGTCTAAAATTCACCCATGTGACAGTTTTCCTTGACACGGGAACATTTAATGTCGAGAAACAATTCATACAAGATAATAGTATGACGGAATGTTGAGTACAATTCTTCTCTTGACATTCTTATACCCACAATAAGAGCAAGGTGGATGACAAATTGAAGATTAAGGCAGTACCGATCTCCTAACACGAATCTTTCTTAGCGGTATACCGAGCTTATTTACAAAAACAGCAGGACAACAGAGAGCAACAGTACGCAGAGATAAAATATCTCCGAGGTGTAGTAGCTATCCGCTAAGCTTCCAAATTTTAGACATGGTGTGTATAAAGCGACTATGAAAATGTATGCAATACCTGAAAAAAATGATTCAGATATGTACTTAACTATCAACACCATATAACCCCGATGCTAAGAGGTTCTACTGAAGGAAATTGGCACAAATATAAGTATACTGCAAGCACGAGACTGACGATTGGCCACTTAGACCCACCTGGCTAGAATCATCTGTTTAATATAGTCAAAACATTAACTTCCGCCAGACAAAAGTTTAAATAGGATGAAAGCAGAGAGCAGACCTCAGCTAGCTGGGCTGCGAAAGCTCCGTTTTGAGCAAGTGTTTTGCCGAATGCTGTCCGAGTTAAAGCTCGCTTAGTCATGGATTCGAGTCCACGCTCTGCGGCACCCATCAACCTCATGCAATGATGCAACCGTCCCGGTCCTAGCCTTCCCTGAAACAAGATTCATGTGCCAGGTACACGAGATCGTGTTGAGACTTCGCCTTCGATAAGCAGCTATTCAAGTAAACCTCACAAAAGAGGCAGTCTTCACGGCTTCAAGTTTGTTCCTCTGACATCGTAATAGTTCGACATCACCTTCACTCTTAAATTGATCTAAGATAATGGCCACACATACCTGTGCGATTTCAAAACCACGACCTTCTCCAAGCAAGAGATTCGAGACGGGTACACGAACGTTTTCAAATATAATTTCCGCATGTCCATGTGGTGCGTCATCGAAACCATAGACAGTCAAAGGTCGAACGACAGTCACACCTGGTGCTTGTAACGGTACCAGGATCATAGACTGTTGTTTGTGTAACGCAGCATTCACATTTGTTTTACCCTATAAAGATGATTCCAGGACTCCAGGTCAATAACCCACAGCAACCATCAAAACGTTTTTCAAACCTTCGTGAAACGAAGATAGAATCTTCAAAAAGACCATGCGTAAGAAGAGTTAAAGCCATATGCAGTATGATGGCAGATTCTCGTAAGAACGTTTAAACGGTGAAAAGAGTTCAGCCTAATCCAAAGTGGTCGATGTGTTATACGAGATGCTTCGATGTCAGGTATGACCTACTGCCGTTACTTCTTGCCTTTGCATAATTTTCGGCAAAACAAAGATTCGAAGACACCTACCATCACAATGAGTAAGCGGCATCTTGGATCCATTGCACCACTCGTCCACCATTTTCGCCCATTGATCACGTATTCATTACCTTCACTGCTCAGAAGAAAGAAACAATATGACAGCAATAGACGGCAAGGGGGTTAAGTTACCTGGCTTGCTTCTTATGCTGTTCCATGCCAGGATTAGATTATCTTCCCTCGCGATAAGCGAAAAGATGTCTTCATATTTTCCCGTTACACCTCGTTAAGTTGGAACCCAAGAAGACGACAAGAACGACACAAGAAAGTAACTACATTGATTGTCGGAGCATGTTCAATATTTCTTCATCAACACTACCCTGTCTACAATCAGAATGCATACTTTATTTTACCTCGGAAAGTTCTAAGGCAAGTTTCAACAGTAAAAAGGTGATACACACCGTTTGATTAAACACTCTATGTTTGTTGCGTCCGAAGAAGCCACGTCTGGTTCTGTCATTGCAAAACCTGATCGTATTTCTCCTTCCAACAAAGGCTTCAGCCATACTTTCTGCTGCTCTGGACTACCATAACGTAATAACACCTGCGAGTTGGAGCCATAGTGATAGTCAGTCCAGATAGGAAAATGACAAACAAATCAATTTTCATCTTGCCGGAACAAATGCACCCTTGATTCCTACAGATGAATAGTTGGAAAAGTACCTCCATGTTCCCCGTGTCAGGTGCACTGCAGTTAAGAAGCTGAGGAGCCCAGACAGAGCGACCCAGTACTTCGCACACATGCGCATAATCGAGGTTGCTTAGACCAGCACCAACAAGCCGATTTGCATCATCCCTGTTCTGGGTCCCCGAACCGTCTTCGAAGAGGACATCTGAAGCTAGTGCCGCGCTGTCAACCTGACAAAGTTAGGTTGACAGTGCGGCACAAAACGTGTTAAGTCCTTTTCCAACTGTTATTTATGGAGAAGGAAGTCTGTGAGGTTTCTCCGTATAGACTTAAACAAACTGTGAACAAAGACTGCACAATAATTGTTGAGAGATGGTCCTCACATATCTAATATCTGAGAGATGGTCTGAACATAAATGCTTTTCTCATCGTTTAAATTAACTATGCAATACTGAAGAATAACACTGAGTAGAATCACAAGCCATATTACCGGTATCCAGAGATTCCAAAGCCCCGCAGCTTTAGCCACTTTCTTCAGCTCTTCCTCCTTCGGGTGAACAGTCCACCGTCTGTCTGATAGAGCCAACTTGTTGAGCACCTCCTCGTTCGGGTAGACATACTTGTCCATGAATTCCAAAATTTGTTGTCGGAGCTTTTGCACTCGGTATGAGGGCTCAAACCCTATCACATTCGATCCTAGACAAAGGAATGGAAAGATAAGAAATGGATGCCTTTAAGTCTGATCTTTCAGGAATCCAGAAGTCTAAAATTCACCGACTGAGATACAACCAACTTTCAGAACCAACAGAAAAGTTACTCACTGCCTATTTGTGGTTCTCTTTCTGGTAAGAGAGAACTGGAATCTACAACGCTTACGGCAATGTTCGTGAAGTGCAAGAGAGCCTCTCGAACACTTTCACTCCTTTGTGCCGAAGAGTTTCCCTGCACAACGAAACCTACTTTTAAAAGTGTATACCTATTCTCAAGTGTCAGATCTAACATCTCCAAACCTCTTGATTCGTCTTGCTTTTGCAGTATGACTTCATAGATACCAGGATTCCGATTGTACTTTGATTTTACGATATTCACTTCACTCACACAAAGGCAAGGTGTTCAATGCACTGAAATCTCTACTAAAAAACCTCGGTCTTTATCCAGCTTTACGCCTCCGATCAACAAGTCTTCATCACAAGCAAACGTAGACAAACATCTAGCGTCCATGTAGACCTGTATGCAAGCCCAATTTCCCGTCAAGCCCCACTTTTCAAAGTTTACTTCTTTCGCAAAGAAATAACCACGTAGCTACCTGTAGCATGCGCTTATACACTCCTGCCCAAATCGCAGTGGAACGGAAGAGAGCTAATGCAACGTAGAATTTCCATGTGGAAGCTGGCCAGGGTACTCCCTGCATACAAGAGCTCGATATTTAGCCACTGTTCAGACTATATTATCTAAAAGAAACAGCACCTTGATCCCAGATTAGCCTCTTCCCTACGTCAGTTTAGACAACATCAGTATGAAATCCTCATATCACTCCATGGTACATAACAGGGAAACAACCGAAAATACTTTGAAGGGAGCAGTATACTCCTGAACTCGAATGGGTGGTGAGGAGTTCTTAAAGTGATAGTTGAAGAAAAACCCTTACACCCATCTGAGATTTAGCACGTCTACTGCCCTTCAGATTCTTTGCAAGGATTGCATATATGTCTCTCATAAACATACTACCTATTTGCATTGCCGTTTAAGTATCATATTCAACGTAAGTATACTGAAAAAATATTCTTCCAACCTAGAGAGAGCTTAAAACAGCTCAAAAACCTTTTTAGGTCGAAAGTCTGAACATCGTTGTAATACCAAAACCAATATTTTACACTTCTAAATTGAGATAATCCGATAGATCAAAAAAAATCAAATGGACTTGGACAACTTCAAGTACCTGTTTGCGACATAGCGAGAACTAAGAACTAAGGATTACCGTTGTTTGACAATATTGAGAGACGTACTCCTCGAGTGATGGAATTCCAGGCAAGTGCCCAGAATCGAAGGAATAACCCAGAGAAGGAAACTTGATTTTGCTTACAGCGAGCTGGTAAGTCTGCGATGATTTGCAAGGACACCATAAACTCATTATGCTGTAAGATGGAAGCAAGGACAACTGCAACTACATTTATAACCTTACTATGTTATGAATCCAAACGGCATAAAGTGCTCAGTATTGACTTTATCCACGACCTCAATCGTGTTGAACGATTTGGAAGCCCACAAAATAATCGTCAAATTGCAGAGGAGAAGCAAACAAAGATAAGAATAATGATTGTGGTTACCAGGCAATTGTAAGCGATATCAGCCATCTGGTTGCCAAGAGTTGAAAGCTCCCAGTCAATAACAGCAAGGACCTTCGGCTGCAAAATCAAAAGACGCAAAGTAGGAAGGGTTTTACATCGAATTTTACATCAGCGAACTGCATATTCGTGAACACAACACATATATAACTTGGAAAACATAGTGCAAAATGACATGCTCATGGTCTCCTTAGATGAGTCACACATGATGTTGCCCACGTAGACAAGACTAAGCCTTATTCTATCTTTTCAATTCCTCAGTCACCTTCAGTGTAAAAAAATTAACAAATTTGTAATAAAGGTATGATGAACATTGGCACAAACACGTGTATGTTCTCAAAGACAAGGCTGCATTTCCCAAGCTTGTAATTTGACATCAGCCTTCATGCTCCAGAAGAGGAATCTTCTTTCTTCAAAATTGGACCTGAAAAGACCAAATGTAGCTTTTCGACCCATCCCTAACCTTACCTCTGTAGGGTGGAATATAAGATTGTCCAATCTAAAATCTCCGTGAACAATACCCGATCGGTTTCCTCCTGCATCTTCTGCAGGTACATTGTTCTTCAACCAATCGATCAATTTTTCAACCTTAGGATCTCGGGCTGGATTGCCATCTGCTGTTGAGGCATGGTACTGACGAGCCCACGTTATCACCTGGACGAAGGCAACAAAGATCCTCAAGATGCTGAACTGGTAAAAGAAACTTTGTGAATTCCTATGAAGGACGCAATTCTATTCAGATGAGGAGAAAAGCTTCAAAGATCACAATCTCAGACAAAACTTTAGGCCGTCTACCCATGGGTGTGGGAAACCGTAGTCTTTACCTGCCTTTTACAGTAGTTCTCCCTTCGACCATATTGTCCCAATCCGACAGCATCAACATTGACCTTGTGAATGGCAGCCAGAGTTTGCGCCATAGCTGAATAGATCGCTTTCCGCTGGTCTGGATCAAGGTCCTGAATATAGATCCAATTTCTCATGTTTCAGGAGTTCGACTGCAGAAGGCTTTTTCTGGGTCACAAAAAACAGGTGTAGCGAGCTAAGCTAGACTTCTTAACCTGGAGAGGAAGGGTTACCGGTCCAATTACCGGTCCAATTACAGAGGCTTACCGGTAAGCTGGGGTTAAGGAAGAGACGGCCCTGAACGTGGTCCATGATATAAAACGGTGTCCCGATCACAGATGGATCCATACAGAGGCAGTGAACCTTGGGCACTGGTACATCGGTATTAGCGAGGGCAGCCAAAATCTGCACGCGTTCCAGTCAAACAAATTAAAAAAATTTTACGCTTTATCTTCATCCTGAAGTGAGAAAGGTGGTATGGCAAGTGGGTCAATCTGTCCAGACACTAAAACCATTCTTTGTAGAGGAGTAGATATAAATCACGTATGCAACATTATCCAGAAAATTTGTGACTCACTTTTTTGTTAAGAAAAAAATGCACGACCTAATCGAAGTTGTTATAAATCAATACCTTGTACTCCCTATCGACGGCATGAGCTCCTGGGAGGAGAACGCCCGGAGGCTTCTTACGAAGGACAAACATCTTCCTACCACCACTACCCGTCGCATTCACCAGATACGTTGGATTTGACTGCCCATGTCCAAACTGAGAAATGCAACAAACAAAGCCAGCAAAAAATTAAGAAGAAGAAATGCGACAACACGCACGCAAGGAAATGCAATAATTTCTGGATACAGAAATGAGCACGACACAAATTAGCCTCTCGAAACATTGATATCTTAGAACAAACCAAAGTTCTGCACATTCGCTTCACTTAACTCGCACTTCATGCCATACTGTAAGATCTCGAACACAACGTTGTGCTTCAGGAAAAAGAAGAAACCTGGACTCTTCAAAGGGATCGTGTGTATTCCCATCAAATCATGTAAATGCAAAGCAAGAACGAGGGTCTACTAGAGTGCTATCAATTGACCATAAATAAATAAACCATAATAAACCATGATTTAAAACGTCCCATCAAATTTCTTACCTGTTTAAGGCTGACCTCGCTGTATATACCACATCCTGGAATCGTCTCGTGCATGTACTTGAGCAATGCCACCTCATTAAGAACATGAGCAGAGTGCACATCTCGGACCAAACTTGTGGTGGTGGCTTGGCTTGGCATCTTGGCTTCTTGGTATCGCAATCAGAGTCCAGTGTTCTTCATTGACAGAACAACAGTGAACTTAACACAAAGACTTCATGACTATAGTTTGGAGACATCGACAAAATTATTGCAAAAGACTAAAACATCCCACATAAAGCTGAACTCTCTCTAATGACCTGACAGACCGGATTCTCGAGAACCACCGTTTCTTATGTGATCGTTTAGCTCTTAAAAATTTCTCTGAGATGGAGCACAGCACGGGGCTAATTACCAGATAGGAGATCCACTCTCTGTAAGTTAAACGCCCAGATCAGATAGCAACATTCAGCTTCACAGGACCTGGAGCTAAGTGCAAGGGTCAGCCTTGAGTACTGAAAACTATACAGGCCTGAGAAAAGGGCATGTCGGAAACGTTTCACGACTGTTGAATCAGAAAACAATCAGGGAATGACAACAAAGTTAGACGAAATTGAATTGCCGTCATCTATCGCAATCTTCTTATCTCCATTCCGCGCAATTGAGATACACGGAATGGAGATTTAAACCCCCTAAGCCTCCTTCTCATAGACTCTGAAGACATTACCATGATTCGACGAAACACGCTGCATGCTGCATGCTGCATGCAGACACACCAAACTTAAAAAGGACTCGGAAGAGCTAAAGTAGCAAACGTTGGTGGCTGTAAGAAAAAAGTCGACGCCAGCAGAATTGCTAGAATGTCATGAATCTTGAAGGACCAGGCAATTTGCATCAGACATCGAAACAACATACAAACTCAATCAGCTCACAATCGGTCACTAACCAAAAAAGCCGCATGGGGTGCTCGGCCTGCGGCACAATTCCAGTCCACCCTTCTTCACCAAGAAAGAGCAGAATTCCTTCCAGCACAAGCAGGCAGAATATCCAGGGCCCGCTTAATCTCAAACAGCGATCATGATCGATCGATGCATCCGACCGAGCGTCATCCAGATGCCAACTCGGTTTCGTCGGGAGCCCTGGAACTATACAATCGACCCTCGCATCAAAATTTCAGTGCTCTCTTGTGTGCTGGCGCGACCTCGCAGTTGGCGGATCGGTGACAGGACGCACCAACTCTTTCGCTATATTTTCCCGTTTTCTTCGATGATTCGATCCCATGACCAGACGGATGCCTCGAGGTTACGGGAGCACTGACAGCCGAATCTTCAAAGCTGTGACGGACTTGATGGCGACGTGTATTACAACTTCCGCGCGGTCGTCACTGAGAATTATGACTTCCTTGACGTCGGATCTAGGAGCGTCGGTGAAGGTGGGCCCGTATACGGTATTTTGCCGGACGTACATGGGGACAATGTCCAATGTCTCATATCCAGAAACATATAGTTTCGAGCTCAGGATCAGTGTGCACGTTCCGGAAGAGGTGGAGCAGATCACGAGAACTTTGGTCACAAGCATGGACCCTTGGTTCAATCTTGGTAATTTGAAATCCACCGGTACGAAAAAGTCCTCTTGTTCCATGTCCATTCGTGAACACTTTCCCTTACCATCTTCGGATATGAGATGCGTTAATCATTGAATTCTGATCCCTATTTAGAAGACAGAAGTCAAGGTTGTTTCACCCCAATTGGAGATACTATCTGCTAATTGATTGTAAGTCTGCCTAATTATCGAGTGCTGAGGTGTCAAAATTGGAAGTTTTAATAAATACTCTTTGCTTTGACGCTATGAACTTGACCATCCAACCGTTCTATTCCATAGGAGTTTTGGGGGGGAATTTACTGGTTATATACTGCAGTCTGGAACAACCCCGACTGTGAACCGAACCGTATGACTGTGTGCTGATGGCATATGGTCACCGTCGTGACGGTGACCATATGCCTTGAAAATACTCAGATTTTCTTCACGTTTCATCTTTGTGTTGTGGCAAGTGTGTGTGAGGGAGGTCAAATCGATATCAATCATCACATTTCGAATGACAAGTCGGTTATGTAGTAAAGATTTAGTAGCAACATCTAAGACCGATCTAGATTTGTTACAAAGGTAGACTTGCATTTGTACAACGTTCTACGCGGTGCAGACAAAATTGTATGAACATTTCTACAACATACTCTTGCGCAGTATTGTAGCCTAAACTCGATATATGTACAACTCACGAGTTTCTGAAGAGTTTTTTCATACTCACCTCCAACATTGATTTTTTTTCTCAATATGTATCTTATCGCTCTCTGCTTTTTTCATAGGGTCTAGCTATATTTTTATGTGATTTAGTTTGTCATTTGTGATGTAGTTTAAAAGTTCAGTCCGTTGGTTGTTTCCACACTAGACGAACTACCTCAAGTAGTGAAATGCGCACGCATTAACTGATTTGTGAAAGTGGAAGTTGTTTCTCGACACATAAAATTGATGAAATATTTCAACCAAGAAGTCATTTGAAATGAGTATAATACGGCTAGAGTTGTGAGATTGTATTGCATCGAGAGTTTTTTTTTCAAGCTTTGTATCATATACGTAAACGTACTTTTTACAACTGTCAACATTGTATGGAAAGTATATAGCATATGGGAAAGTAACTTATAATCTGAACAAATCGGATCAACTAGAATGTCGAGTTTTGTGGATGAAGTGTCATGTAATTCTCGTAGATACAAAATAAAATGTCAAAAAGATAGAAGTGTAAATACTCAGTACATAACATGAAAATGATCACACACATCAATATATTCTCAGCAAATCTTTATTTTAGCTACCACTAACTTCATAAAATAAAAATGCACAACGTTAGCGAGGTCGTACACACAGGAACACAATACATACTCTCATGCGCAAAGACTGTCTCCATGATCTTGACCGCAGAGGAAAAGGTCAAGGTCAAAAACTATTAAGGAAAGAATGGCAAAAGAAATGTCGTCACAAGCTTGTACTATGAACTCAAGATATATAATCAAACCACTCATCATGCCATTGAGGCATAACAAAATGGGTAGATAAATAATAAACAAATAGATTTATATCTCCATTGACTTTTTTGAATACATATGTTCTCTCTTAACTTTAATTCACAACGAATAACAATTTTCACTATCCAGAACCATTTATTTCTAAAAAAGAAAATATTTGATAAAATCTAATTATCAATCAATTCACTATATTGTATCATCATTTAATTTAGTAATACTTGTGCTAGCAAAAATCTCTTTAACTAAATGTTTTGACATGAAAAATCTAATTGCAATTAAAGAAATTCTATTCAAAACAGTTTGTGATTTCCTACTTTTACGTTTTCTTAACAGTTGAATGCTACATCTGTACAACTCCTCCCTAGTTGTTTTTCTTTACTCAAACTTTCAGAATAACATCAAGAAGAATATTGTCATCACTAATAACAACTTTGATTTCGGATTCAAATCTTGTAAGTTTTCACAAATGATAATGTATTAGTTGCAATAGATATAAGAATAAACTCAAAGATAAAACTAATACATACATCCAAATATATTGTAAACAATACAATTCAATGCATGTTAAATTCAAATACCAAAACAACGTTTTTTTTTCATATAGTTTTTCACAATTGAATTGCTTCTCTTTGCGCCATGATACTGGTCAACAATTCTCAATCTTCTTTTCAATGTCAAATCACATGGTCTAATGAACATGTCGACTGTTGTGACCGTGTCCATTGATGTTCTAATTGGCATTGCTCATGAACTTTCAAGTCATCCAAAGACCTATTCATCACAGCTAGTGTGCTATGTGCTATGTTATCACTATTCAATGTCATTGTTTCTATTTACATTCAAGCTTCTCTTGATTTTTCAACACAAATGTTACTCTCATTAAACTTTAATTCTAACATGGAATTTTGTTCGTCTTGATTCACATGTAACTTTTCATAATCGTATTCTGCTTGCAATTCTTCATCATAGTCTATTAACAATTGAGTATTATTTTTCAACAATTCAAGATACTTATTATATATCAAACTTTCATATTGTGATCCAGCGCACGTTACATGTTGTTGAATAATGGATACTCCTTGGTGTACTTTGCACATCAAAGCTATACATTGATGTTTGCACATGTTTACTTTCACAGCCCTCGAATAATCACACGAAAGAAGTATAGAACAACAATCTCAAACAATCATCAAACTGTATCATTTTTCCAAGAACATCTGACATTATCAATGTAAATTTTTGTTTTTTCACTTTTTGGATCAAAATTTTATTCCATACTTTGCAAACATATAAAACGTGAAATAGAATTCAATATGTAAATACTACTAAATTATATATTTTTGTACTCTAATTGTTATATATATATTTGCATATAAACCATTATATTAAACTAAAAACATCTCACATTTAACTTCAAATGTTCAAAATATTACTAGAACGAATGAAATTACATATTTCAATGCAAACACCACTTGACTAGCACAATCAATTATGAAATAGTTTGGTTTCTAATCGCACTTCAACTCTAATGTTGTAGTTTTAAATCTTTTGTAAAAACTTCACTATCAACTGTGTAGTTACTTTTTTTGAATATTACAAGCAATGGATAATTTCATTTGATGACGATTAAATGCAATAAATGTAAAAAAACAAATTGCATTACTACACATAATATATAATTAATCATAAAGAAATAAATAAATTGTGCAATATTTATAAATATAGAACTTAGAACAAAATGAGCAATATAGATGTCATGTTTATGATTTAAATCATTACACAATATCATAAAAAATTCATTAACTCAAGATACAAATGAATCAAAACTTTCGTCATATTTGATTGTCTCAAATGTGCTATCAAACGTCAGATTTCTATTTCAAATATAATAAATCATCATCCTTAATTGTCCTTTGGATTGAATAATCAAAATGAAATTTTGAAACATATCTGCAGATTTATATTTTTGATGTAAAAACACAAAATGACGATGCGCATTGATCTTAATTTGCTCAGAATGTTGGTCGTTGTCATGAAACATATAAGTTTCTCTTGCCACCTTTGCTTTTATGTTATGCAGATCTTTCACATGAATGGAGTCATTTTAGTTTGTTTCATGGACCATGGAAGCGCAACAGTATTATTGAAAGTACAATCTGGATTTCCTATTTGAATCTACTGTTTTAAATGCATGTCAGAAACTTGTGGAATAGTCCAACACATTCTAAACAATTGCTCTATATTTTATCTCAACTTGTTTGTAATTTGTGAAGCATATGCACACTTAATACTCCAAGGAACAGTTTCATTTTCTAAAATTCTTCCATGACATCTCTTCCATTTATCATTACAATGATTTCTGCAATACACGTGTAAAAATCAATTTAAAATTAATACATATACATTAAATAATAATTCCATAATGATAATACATACATCAACAAATTCAAACTATAAAAACATTCAAACAAATTACACATTACTTTGTTTGCAATATATGACCACAATGTCATATTTATAAAATTTGGATTTATTATATGTAACAATAAAGTTACAAACACGTATCTTTTCAAATGATCATTGAAGTTTATCTTTCAGGATTGTGGTTTCCTACTATCACCTATACCAAGAGATGTATAGATGATTTTACTGAATATTGTGTTTAGAATCTGATAAGTATGATTAAATGATCCAAAAACATACCAATACTTTACAGTTCTGATCCAATAAGTCTTGAGATCTGGTTTGTCATTCATTTGTCTTCTCTAAAAGATTGTCTCAAAATCTATATTCCTTTTGGTCTCAACAACTACAAAATTGTCTACTCTCTCACTTAGAATACGAATTATCTCCACAAGAGAACGACGCATTTTCCAACGCCATTGCAAATCATCTGCATGATATGTGCTTGAAGGAGTTGATTGAACAAGAATTAAATTATCCATTGCGTATATATTTATCCTGTATACAATTGAATAAAATGAAGGTTACATTTCATTGACAAGACAAAAAATCATCTAAAATTACAAAGAAACTTCACTACAATAGTAGGACATAATTAGCAAGAGCATGTGAAGCTAGAAGTAAGCTGAAATCATGACGTCATAATCTCCAATTATACTTTCAACTTTGATATAGTTTAAACATGTTTTGATGTAATGAAACAGAAAATACTATTATTGTCAAGATAATGAAAGAACTGGATAAAAATGCATATAGTTTCAATACAAAAAGCATCTACATGTTTATCAATCAAGTGCACTTCACAACAATCCACAACAATTTCATGATTTGGGTCGAATGAAGACCCAACATATAAAAGAGACGTGGGTTGTAATTGCAAACATGTAGACATAATGAGAGAAAGAAAAATTGTCTCAAAAATCTCTAGTCAAATTCAGTTTGTTTGTACTTATCATAAGAGCGATGAGCCAAGTAAATGGCAGAAAGGATAAAAATGCATGACATGATGAGAGTGCGTTTGTCACGCTAACAAGTATTGCTATGTTCTTAAGTATCACAAGACCAACAGTTTATAGTCATAGGCTGTATTTTTCTATAGCACTTGAAATGCAAGTAATCATTTTTTTTCTACGATTGTAATGTCTGCTTCATTATCGGCTGAGCTAATATTGTCCATAATGAATAACATTCATTTTTCAATGGCAGCCGGACGTGAAGTATCTGACACTTATCGTTGTAAATCTTCCAATTCTTCATTAACATCAAATTATTCAGTACACTACTCCACAAGATAACTTCAACCCCACCGTAAAAGTTAGTACTGAGATAGTCACATTTAATTTACTTTTTTGGTAATCCATATCATTTGCAGTAGTTCCATCACAAACTGAAAAAACCATCTACTAGTTTATTAGCCAAGAACACTTCACTTGGCAATCAAACTTGGAAATAGTATCGGTGTCGGTGTTGTCTCCTTTTACGGTGTCATTCTGAATTATATCCTTGATGAGGTCCAAGTACTAATATTCCTCGTGTCTTTGTACAAGTGAGGGTGAAAGTATTGATACAAAGTCTTTTATCGTCTACTCGGCCTTGCTTGCAACCCCATTTTCTTGCTTTGCTACACTCGTAACCACATTAACGTTGTGCTCAGCATCCACTTTTGTAAGACTATCATCTCTTTGTACATAAGCCACAAAACTATATCACAAGTTATTCTTCACTATTGATGCCGAGTCGTATCATGATGTAGGCAGAATGCTACTCTTTGAGGTCTGGTTTCAAGCTGCAAGTGAAATACGTGTAGTGTGGAATTCACTTTGTGTAGTATATATTAATCCAAATTTCTTATAATTTTTATTTTTTGGTTTTTACTACTTTTCTTTTCATAAATTTCATTGGTTGTTACGAGGAATTCTTAATCATCTTAATGTTTATCATTAGAGGTAATATCGAGAATTTAAAAGAAACTTTCAGAGTGAAGTACAATGAGGAATGCAAGATCAATTCTACAATAGATTACAGTACGATGGCAATAATGTAATCACTACCATTGTAGTACCCATTCTATTCACACTTCACTAACCTTCGTTGAGTCTGGTCTTACTCTCTGGCTTCCAAAGCATAGTACAGATGACTGACATTCAGTTTCATAAGTAAATGCATGACTGATTCTACTAGAGAGAAGACATCAAAAGTCGGATCTGAACCTAGGCATTGCATTTATTGGTTAAGATGCGTAGCACTGTTTGATCGAATTTCTTCCTTGTACGTCATATGTGCTGAATGTATATGCAAGTGCGTCCATCTCGATTGAAATAATTGAAAAATCTAAACCTTTAGAATCCAAATTAATCCCTACTGTACAATCTTGAGTTGAGCTTTCTCGTAGTCCAGATTTTCCATCTCCTCCTTCCGTCCTCGTTTTCGTTTCCAGTAGGGAATGTTTTTATGGTCTAGAACGTTGTAGTCCTTTTCTACTTCCCGATAATTCTTTTCTCACCTTGATAGCCATCTTCAAAATGAAGAAGTTCTCTCCAACCTTCTCGTGCTCTTACCTCCTCAGGAGCGTACGTGCAATGTAAAATTTGTCCGATTCCACGGCTATCAGATCGCAAGAATATCGTCAATATGTTTACAACGAGAAGCTTATTTGACTTCCTTCAGTAATACGAATTGACAAGCCAAAGCTGAGAGAATCCAATGCAATGAAAAAATCTACAAGGCCATTTGAACCCCAAGAACCCGCTTCTCCGCCTACACTAGCGCTGCGCTACGGAACGTAACAGCTTGGATGTTAAATCATTATGGACTTGAAAAAGCTCATGCTCAAGATCAATAAGAGGAACAATTTGAGTAGGGAACTCATGGCAAAATTTGATTAATGTTCATTGGAGTTCATTCTTTAGTGTCACTTCTGCAGGAGCACCTAAGATAGGACGCTTGCAATGCAAGTTCGAGAGGAACAGGATCGTGGAAAGCACGATGTGGAATTTATTGGTTATATAAGATGTTAGTGTTTTGCAAGTTCAAATATAGGAATGGAGGAAATAATTAGCTCCGCTTTAGTTGAAGAAGTTTTTGTCTTATCACATTGACAATTACTACGGTTTATATAAAACGAAGTGTCGTTACTTCTATTTGCATTCTACCATTTCAAAACATATGATTAAATTATATAATATGTTTTGAAATATCGGTTCGATTAGACGCTAGGTATTTGAGGGATATCTATGATTTAACCAAGTAGATATCCCTCAAATACCTAGCGTCTAATCGAACCGATTAGGTATACCTCAAAACAATAGCATATGATCTAACCTAGTATGTTCCCCCGACAATCAGGTGGTTGTATGTACATGTACCTTCTCTACTCTGCTTCTTCAATTTTCAAGTTGTCAATTTAGATAATCAGTATACGATTTCACTTAGTATATTTTCCTCAATATTCTCGTAGAAGAGTTTTACATCTATGGTCTTAAGTTTACCGATTATTTTTCCTTCTTCTCGTCATGTCAGTTAGCGCTTTTGCCTTTATTGTTGCGATGTTATTAGTTGTATTTTTCATTAAGTGTTGCAGTTGTGGACATTAGACAGTTTTGGTTGTAGCGTGTACTCTCTTTTACGCTACCTTTTCCTTTATTTCGATTTTGAAATTATGTTTCACATTATCATCATTTTTCCCACATTTATCCTATGTTCTTCATGTAATATGGCTTCTCTTTTTTCCCACGTGAGAATGTATTTTTTTTCCGATCTGATGAAACATAGTTTATTAGACTTTTCTCTTCCACTTTTTCTCCATGATTTTATTTCGTGACAGACGCTAACTATTAACTTCGAACTACTGAACTTTTTATCCAACATTTCCCGACACAGATACGACGGAAGAGATAACACATGATAAGATAGATTATCAGTTTTCTTACCTGTTTTCTCGCAGCACAATCAGGAGTTCGAAGCTATGCTTCTAGATTTCATTTCGCAATGGATTGGGCATGGCCAGAGCTACGAACTTCATATCACACCGTGGATGCAAGACATTGTGCAATTGATCGAGGCTATATCTATTGTACCTCCTCGGACGACAGCAGACAATAAGATAAAACTCGTCTAGGCGTGGCAGGATTGCACTCAAAATGTTCGAGTCGTCGTAGTTATTTCGTCAGATTGAGAAGAACTATCATGTACAATTGCTCAACAGAGCTTCTTTACATTCCGCTGGAAAAAAGCGTGGTCATTAATTTGAGATCTTAATTGTGGCAGACCGAGGCAGTGGGCATGGTCACGCAGACGCGCTTGTACAACTTCTTAGCCTCGGGAGATCCGTTCTTGGGCTCTCCTGCGCTCTTGTCGGTCTGAGCGACTGGCTGAGCAAGGGCGACTCCGGACATGGTGGCCACAAGAGAAGCGGCGGCAGCTGCCATCACAACTCTTCTTTGCATGATCTCCGCGTCATTCTTGGCCTGACATCTGACGGCGGTCATCTGCACAATTTCAACGAGTCATCAATTTCTTCCTTCATCAATATTTGCAGTGCTTCAGTTAGACAGGGAACTCAATTAAGGACATTCGTTAACTGTCCACCGTTTCTCTGCAAGTTAAATACTGGTGTTGCGTATCGTCGAACTGCGCTACTTGTGAAATGTTTCCAAAACATCGACGAAATAAGTCGTACAACGAACTTCAGCTCAAAGACACAATGCGCCACGTCATATACCCTGATGAAAGGTACTCGAGACAGTCGGGCAACAAGCTAATCCTAGGTTTGCTCGGGTGATAGAAACTACGTTATTCCAATCAGACTCGCGTATTCATACGTAGACGCATCATCACTATATTATTCGCCAAACACACGTCGCTATGAAAACAATACTAAACATGGGGCTAATGAGGGAATCACTCCGGAAACTCTAAAGAAGCGCAGAAGTGCTGTACGATCGATCACGAGGCAACGGCTTCATCGGAAGAAGAGAAATAGAACGACACAAGTTCATCTATGCCATACACCGGCCTCGATGCGAACGATACACTCACTCAGACGAAGTCACAGATGACATAAACAACTCTAATCAACCACAATACAGAGCAAAACCGATGCGCTCGCTCACGAGCATTTTGAAGAGAAACATCGGCGAAATAAAACACGGGGGCAGGGACAATGTGACATACCTTGACGCTGGAAGTGGAGACATTGCGGCTGGTGACGCGGGTTCCGACCAGCGATGAGGCGGAGGCAGCAACGAAAGCAGACACAGCGAGGGAAGCCATGGTGGGAAGAAGAAGGAAGCTACGAAGCAACGCGCGACAGCGAAATCAACAAAGTTGCCCGTGCCGTAGGTAAATCAGCAATTCTTCTACAGAGCTTCGCCGAGGCCGCGAGCCTTTAACGATAGATCATCGGATAAGGCAGCGACGATCGCGATTATCTCCACCACAGAGCCATTGGCTGCGACCGCGGGAACCAGACGGACGCAGACACGAGGGCGTGCGATGCCGATGGACGAGTGGGAGCGGGCCAGCGCATGCCCCCATGCATGCCCATCCATGGATCGACGGAGTCCGACGCATAGCCATCCTCAGCCGCATAGGATGGGCGATGGGGTCTCATGTCGGATGAGGGATGAGGGATGAGGGATGCGAAGTGCGCAGAGGATCATTCCGGAGGCTAAAACGGCCGCCCGTGGGGCCCAGCCACAAACTTTTGGGAATCCGACGCGGACATGTCGAAGGCTCGTGAGTCGCTGTCGTTACCTCGTGGCTACGAACGAAAAAGGCCTCGTTATCTTTTGGACGTTTGTGTGGAGGTGTTTAACCTAGCGACACGGGGACTCGACCACCGGTCAAGCCTCGACTCCAGATCCACAGCCACGTCGAGAGAGAGAGAGCGGAGCTCGAAGGAACTCGAGGGCGAGGGGCAGGGGCAGGGGAGAGATGTGCGAGCTCGTGTGTGAGATTGCGGATTGGAGGGCGTCTGAGAATGTGAGGCTCGAGAATTCGTTCGCATGACGGAGAACGCGACCGTGCAAGTCCACGGTCTGATCGCGCGGTAGGCAGATTTCGCTCCCTGGGGGGGGCGTCGAGCATGGCGCAGGCACTGAGCGCGGCCGGCATTCGGATTCCCTCGGGGCCAGGATTTCGAGAGAATTGCAGCGATGGGGGAGTGTCTTGCAGCTCGCCGGGGTTCTCGTCGAGGGATTGCTTCGTGCGGGTGACGAAGACGACGAGGGGACGAGCGCGAGGGTGCAGACTGAGTGTGAGAGCGAATGCGAGCGTGGAGGGAGTGGCGGGGGTGGCGGGGGTGGTGGCAGAAGGGATTCAGCAGGCGCTGCAGGATGGGGAGGGCAATGTGATGCTGGGGCAGTCGCTGATGGAATTGGAGCCCGTGGCGGACGTGTACGGGGCGCTGGCCAGCTTGCCGGGCGAGCAGCGGACGGGGCTGTTGATCGCGGGCGCGATCGGGTTCGTGTACTTGACGGCGCGGCCGGGAGTGCTGCTGGGCGCCGTGGATGCGTACGTGCTGGCGCCGCTGCAATTGTTGTGGGACTCGGTGCAAGGGCGAAGGAGCTGGAAATGCAGCAACTTCCTGCTGGAGAATCGCGTCGGAGAGGGCTCGTTCGGCGCCGTGTACGCCGGCGTGCTGCTGCCGCGCAATGTGGAGGCGGCTCGCCGGGAGGTGGGCAAGCGCGCGCTCAAGGTCGAGGAGCTCGAGGGCTCGTCCAAGTTCGAGAAGGTGATTCTGAAGAAGGTGAAGGTCGGAGTGGAGGGCGCGGAGGAATGCGGCGAGATGGAGGATTGGTTCAATTACAGGTTGCGCCGGGCCGCCCCGGACGTGTGCGCCACCTACTTGGGCAGCTTCGTGGCCGACAGCACGTACGGGCAGTTCGTGGAAGGCGGCAAGTGGCTGATTTTCAAGTACGAGGGTGAATCGACGCTGGCCGATTACATGAGGCTGCAGAGTTTTCCCGAGAATTTGGAGGAGGTGATGAGCGATCGGAAGATCAAGAACGAGAAGGAGCCTCTTCGGCTCCGAGCTCTGATCATCAAGAAGGTCGTGTACCAGGTGATCAAATCGCTGAATAAAATCCACTCCACGGGCATCGTTCACCGAGATGTCAAGCCTTCGAACTTGATGATCACGTCGTCCGGAAAGGTGAAGCTGATCGACTTCGGAGCGGCGACGGATTTGCGTGTGGGCAAGAATTATGTTCCGGAGCAGGGAATGCTGGATCCCGATTACTGTCCTCCGGAGCTCTACGTTCTTCCCCAGAAAACCCCCAAGCCGCCCCCAGCACCTGTGGCAGCGGTCCTCTCGCCGTTCATCTGGCAATTGAACAAGCCAGATCTTTTTGACATGTACTCCGTGGGAATCATTCTGCTGCAAATGACCATGCAGAATCTGAGGACCGCCATCGGTTTGAAGATCTTCAAAGAGGAGATTGCGAAATTCGGCTATGATATGAAGAAATGGAGGGACGGTACGAAGATGAGGATGAATTTTGAAGTTTTGGACCTGGATGGTGGCCAGGGTTGGGACCTTGCCACGAAGCTCATATGCCCCAGAGGTGATTTCGGTCAGCAAAGACTATCAGCTAGTGCTGCCTTGAGGCACCCCTTCTTTCGGGGAATTTAATTCTTTGTATTATAGCATGTTCAAATACTTAGTCGTCTGGATTCGACTCATACAAACAGTATGAACTACATCGTCAGCAACTACTAGGCTGATTATGTTTGTAACATTTTCAACTCCGAGGAAAAGACATTTCGCTTTAATACATGCGAGGCCGCTGGAGCACATGGAGCGAATGTCGTTGGGCTGAATATGGTCAACGTGATTCAGACGAACGGATTGATTCCTTCGTCTCTTACAGAACCGGGGTGCAATCCCAGTGTGTACTCAAATTAGACTACAATTTTGATCGGAAACAAGCGACCCCAAGTCTGGTATATGGCATGTACTTCTGGAATCTAAAACGTACATCTTCAACAAATCGCTAAGAGTCCACCAGATAATTAGATTCAGAACCTTTCTTTTTCAAGAATGTGGCCAACGAAGGCAATATGACGCCTATTTAGAGCCACCTTGAGAATCATATTGGCGGTAATTCACCGGCCTGCCACTTGTGGACAGTATCAGTTTATCATATGGAAGTAGGAGACGTGGATTCTCCCACACATGAATATGTAAGATCACTTCGGGTAGAGGTTCTGAAAGCAATGCGGGTAATCTGTGTACAAAAATGAAACATTTCAAGACTGACTTAAAAAAGGGCAGCACTGTCTTGTACTCGCTGCTACCACCTCTAGATGTTACCATCCACTGAAAACGTGGTACTCCAACAAACAAAAAAGTCCTTTGTTCGTTTGTTGTGCACATGGAGCTATATCGAGAACGCTGGCCCTCTAAATTACACGAGAAGCAGGTTGACAACGAGAAAATTCCTTGGTCCATATACTATATCGTGCATCGTTTCGTGAGAGAGATAACCAAAGCCAATAGACAGATGCTTCATAATTCGTTTACATTAGAAATGTGAATCATTCCGCTTGTATTCTCAAGGTGCAGGGATATACATCAGTATACCTCCATTTACTGCGTAGTACTGTACTTACTACCGGTACCAATACTGTTTTCGTTAGGAGTTCCCATCTCATCACCTGCCAAATTTGAGTTTGGCAGCAAGAGAGACTCAAGTAAAGTTACCAAGCAGAGGTAACTGTCGTTTCAGTTCTTACATTTCTTGCTAGTTCCCATGTCTGTCTGGGGAATTTATATTATCCACTACTGCACAGGCGTTTCCACGTGACGATTATACACATCTTCTGTGAGTTTTGCATGTTCTTCGGGATCCGAAATCATCGTGATGGGAAACGATGACCGCCTCCAGTTTATAGAACTATTTATGATAAGACATTTCAACATTTCAATTTAGGCAAACGTAAGAGAGTAGAAAGTCTTAAGATCCTAAACCTTTGCTTGTTTATTAGCTCAGGATTAAAAGTAGGGCAGCAGGGTTACAGACAAATCTCATGTCACCAGGTTCCTTCTTAGCTAACACCACAAAAAATGTGATCCATTCCAGCCAATATGGTGGGCTTGAGAAGGCATCAATTTGGTTAAAAATACACGGCAAAAGACAAGTCCCCGAACACTCTGCATCCAAGACTTCTCAAGGATGTCAGTGGAACGTCTTTTTGCTGTGCACACATACCTGGTACAACTTCGAAATTAAAAAGAGTGTGAAGTCTGCTGAGAGCCTTTCTAGCTAAGAAATAGGGCTCCTGATGCTGATGCTGCGGCAGCGGCAGCGGCTGAATATGTGTAAAAGTTCCTCCGCGTTGGAGGAGGTGACTTAAAAGCGAAATTGCTTGCCTGCTTGCCTTCTTACTCAAGCATCCCTTTGCCCGCATTGTCTCTTCTGTACTAGCCCCTGGTGCATTTAGGAAGGACGGCAGTGTGAAACCGAGAGATTCATGTGTCTCACTGTAAAGGACAAATCTACATTTCGGCCGTAACTTTGCTGAGTCTCAAGAACCAAGTGAGAGAGAAAAAAAATTTCAGCATCACTAACCCATTGCTATGTGAGGCTCAAGATCCAATGAAGTGAGAAAATGATAGAGTTATTCAACGGTAGAGGAAACATACTATCAGTGAACTGAAGTACAGGATAAACTTACGGGAGAAAAAGTCCTCTGAGCTGCTCCAAAGTTGACGATGTCCGACTACCGTCATTTTGAAAGAAGGATGACACAGATTTTGAATTCGCAGGTTTAGGACCTCCCAAATGGCCAGTTTGCTCGGCCATCATTTTCCTGAAGGCTCCACCTGGTCCCACGTACTTCTTCCATTCATCGTTCATGTTGAGGAGAAACTGAAGTCCAAGAGAAATCAAAAATACAAACGTCCTTAAGTAGGCGAAACCAGGGTACAATGTTCTTTCATAAAGCTCCTTCGTGAAGTGCACTAAACTTTGACCAACAGCTGCGCAACCACCTCTCCCTTCACAAAAAACCAAAGCTTCTCCTAGTTTTGTGGCACTCAAGAGATCAAAGTACAGTTAACAAGCAAAATCCAAAGAGTATCTATACGTACCTTAGCATCTACGTCCTTATCAACAAGAGATTGGACTTCTACGGACAGTTTCACGATGTAGCCAGCATACCTGCAAACGCACACTCACCAATTCAGATATATCTTGCCTCATAAGACCATTACAAGATATCCTCGAAAGAAGACCGTTCTAGTCACTAAAGACTGCCGCAGCACTAGATGCAGTTAATATCAAAAGCGAGGTTCTTCAAACATGCTTTCCTTGGAACATACCATGAAGGGATAGATAAAGAGTACTCGAATAAGAACATCTTAAAATGTGATAAACTCACCCAGGTCTTTTCCCCATCTGGTAAGAAGCACAATCTGTTCCCGTCTTTGCTAACCGTGCCGCAAGATTATTGCTTCCCTCCAGGAGTGGACAGATGAGCCTCGGTTTACTTAACATACCCTGCACACATCGTTCTGATTACTATTGAATGGTATACTTCATGAATATAGTGCTTCTTACTTAGAATGCTCAACCCAAACCTCAACTTCAACAATGACTACAACCTTCACATTCCACGTATTTCGATCATCGGTCCCATTTACAGGGTAGATACTACCAAAATTCTGGTGATTTGTACTAATTAATGACACACTCTCCTCACAAAGATCAGCATATATGAGCACTGGATTCTCACAAAATTCAAAAGACAACCTCCAATGCTAATTTCGACAGAAAGATGGTCTTAAAATGTTTGCCACGCACCTGCAAGGATCTGAAAGCTGCCCCTTGTATCACACTGTTCCATGGAAACTGGAAAAAAAGGCTGACAATTCTGGCTGGAGTTCCCTTCTCTAACAACTCATGTTCAATACAAGGCGACGTTGGAACCAGCAGAAGATTGAGCAACTCAACGAGGGCAATACGGTGTAAACCGGCGGATTGCTCCTCAACCTTCCTCTGGCACATGATTGGATTTGGGCTCATGTCCAGAACGGTCAAAAACACTCCGAAATTTTCCAACAAAAAAGGTAAACCCTGCAACTTGAAACAAAAACATGGGTCTTGCTCAGTCCCGTGTAATAAATATGTCCTCGAAAGTCATTCTCAATACGAGCTGATCACATTGATTAGATGTGCTCTTCGCACCATTAACTCAAAAGTTTCAACAAGATTCTCAATGCAACTCTGTGACCGCAATACATCTGGCATACGAAGAAACTCGAGTTATAAAACAATATAATATCAAGCCTATAGACTTAAGAACAAAACCATTAACCCAGAAAGGAAGGAGCAAAGATGTGAAGGACATACAGTGCGCATTTAGGCAAACGAGGCATGCACATGTAAACATCAGTGAGCCGAACACCATGTGATAAAGAGCCTAATCATCTAGAGAGAACCGTTAACCAACACAGAAGATGCCACTTGGCCTGTACCCATCCCCCTCATTTGAACGGCGTCACTTTGGTATTACGCAACCTGGCAGCTTCAGCGGTATGTGCTGAAGTGCACATGATTCTACCCCAATATTGTGGAAAGGAGTATGTTTGCACCTCATAACTTTGATCTAATGTTCTTAAAGAAAACTCAACCTGACTTCAACCATGTATGTAGCAGTTTAATATATACTTATATAACGAAGATTGGAACTTTTTTACTATCCTTCACAAGCTCTGACTAATGAAATTCAATTTAGACAACGACAGCAATTTCTGCGGCATATATAAAATAATCTTCCTTATCAATTCCACTTGAGAAGGAGGGGAATTAAACCTCTGGCAAGTTGTCAAGCGTCGTCCAATCATTGCTCTTTCCACGATAATGATACAGCTGTTGCGAGAAGTTGATGATGATTTCTCTCAAACTGATGGTTAGTTCTGGAACATTCAACTTTATAGAACTCCGCTTGATAGCTAGTAGAGCACCTTCTATCTGCACGGATTCAGAGTTGTTAAAAACATCGCATATGATTATAAGCAGGAATGGGCCGATGAACAACAACAGACCTACAACTTGATCAGAAGCATTACACAGCAGGAATGAACTCATTTCATGAAGGCTGATAATTCCAAATGTGAGTGATTATGTCCTTTTCCATATGCAATCAATTCTATGATCCTCTAGGTTACTATCGCGACCTACTCTAAAACTTCCTCGACTCTGATGGGAATTCCAGGCGGAGTGGGATATGTAGAAGCACCTTTTCTTGCAGGGCTCGAGGATTTGACATTCTGAGGTGATTAGTCGCTGCGACATCCTCTTGAGACCAGTTTGATCCACTTTCAGTGCAACCAGCCATCCAATTCTTTCTGGGAAAACCTTCTGACCACTCATCATCAGCTGCAGATCCGTCTTTCTCTCCTTCACTTGACTCCATATCAAAGTCCACCTGTGTTGTAAGCAGACGTAACAAAATCAGTTATCTATAGAAATTTTAAAATCGATAAAATCTCCCTAAATGACATCATCCGCTACACTGGTCTTCACAAAACTTTGCTTGCATGTCTGCTACTAACCAATTCCATGTTTTTGTTTTCCGGAAACAAAGTGAGATAAAAAGAGATGAAAATGAAGTGATTCACATCGGTTTGTTGTGCAAAAAGGTGTTTACAATACACATGCAATATGATGAGACCATCCTTTCTGAAAAGTTAAAAGGATGGTGTAAGAGTAGATATGAACCACAAACTATTACTACCAAGGGAAAAGTGTCATCAATCAGCTACTTCTCTACAGCATCTCAAAACAGTAAATCAACTTTGATCAATAGTCTACACAGTACTCATAGATGCATACTGGTTGGAAACATTGGTTTGTTATACAAAAGGTAGGTACATCTACGTGTGCTTTATGATCACGTCATTGCCTTGAGCGACAACCCGGACTAGGGTAAAGGAAGGTCTAAAGTGCCAAATTTATTTTCAAGATCAGGCATAAGTGTTCAAATGCTCCTTCTCTCCCGCAGCTCGGGGGATTACAGGAACTTTACTTAGTAGTCTACTTGGTACCGATAGATAGCTGCCAGGCTCGGAACATGTATTAGGTTTTTCAGGTTTTTTACATAAACCTGTAAGCCAATCTTATATCAACGAACAATGGTTTACCTTGTGGGACTTGAAGTCAAACGCAATGGTTGCCTTGAATCTAAAGGTGAAATTAACATGGACAGAACCGATGAGTGTAGTTTTCGACAAACATGAGCCAAGAACACTATAATTGCACATTTCAGTAGGCAGACGAACTTAACGAACCTTCAAGTGTTTTCGGAGATTATGCAACCGACCAAGAATCTCCTGACTTTTATCGGAGATCGGATTTCCGCGGACGTCGACGTAGATGAGGTTAGGTGCAGACCCAGCTGCCAAGACCCCCAACAAAAACTGAATGCTGTCGTCCGTCATGAGATTCTCAGAAAGATCCAAGCTAGTGAGGGTGTTGTTCTCCTTGAGGGCAGAGAAGAGCTGCATAACCACAAAACTCTCCATCAGATCCGGAACCCAATCATCTGAAGAGATTATATAATCTCCATCAACGGCACGAGTACACATTTTAATACTGATCGTCTTCCTGAACTATATATCGATATCAGGATGTGGTGCAGTGTTGATCTTTGCAGTCTTATTAGACTGTTTCATCAGAAGAACAACCTGTGGTAACAATCTGACAGTTTTGACTCCATGACTGAAACCTATGTGACCTGTACAGTAGTTACAAACAACCCATGGCAATGATATGAAAAAATTAATGAAACAGCATCGTGCTATAATAACGCAGGACTTTTGACTCAATAACACGTAAACAACAATTGACGCGTCTATGACGTTAGGACTTTGTAAGTACTGTCATCGTTCGGATCTCACCTTTCGAGCTCTTTTGTCGGTGATTCGACATTTGTTCAGTTGCATCCAAAGCAGTGAATTGTCATTTCGCATCGACTCAAGACAGGTAGAATATCTGCTATCAAGCAACCATCGCTGATTAATGAAACTAGAACATTTCTACACATACATACAGTATATTATTACCGCTTGAGCAACAATTAGACAAGAGGTAGAGCACTGAGAAGCGCTCTAGAATATGAGAACATCAAGATGCTGGAAAGTTCACATAACACAAGTACGTTGTCACGCGGTATATTCCCAATGAATCATGTCCTCAACCGTGAGAAGTGATGTGATAAGTATAAACCAAGTGGTGAAGAGCCAAAAACACGGTAACTACTGTAAAGATTGTTTCCAATAATAACGCATCTCAGAAACTTGTCATCCACGAGCTTGGTTGTACAAGAGGACTAACATCATCTCTAATCCGTTACGAATTTACACAGGCTTTATCAAAACGGTAAAAACGCATCCACCACCTATCCGTAGAACTTCCCTGAACGAGATGCACAGGTGGTGTGCACTAGTAGCACACGAGACTCTAGGTTAAAACCTTACAGCTCCTATCAATTTCTCCCCAAGATCAACAAATTTCTCCGTGCTAGTTATAAAGATGACAAAGATGACAAAGGTAAAGTCTGTAGATATCTGATATACCTCTTGTCTGCAACCTCGGGTTGCAACATTTGGGACTCCAGAGCCGCAAACTGGTTGGGATCTCCATCTTTCGAGGTCTTCTTTTTCTTCTACTAAATTCATGGACACAACATGATCAACTGTAGCTGCAATCAGGACCAGCGCATGTAACACAACACACCATGCTCACCTGCAGTAAGCCTACATTGGTACTCCTATACGTAATCAAAATGGTTGGCTTATGACGAAAGATATGCATGGTTTCCAAAAAACATACTCAACATGCACGTACGGACAAAAGAACTTGGGGGCAAACCCTAAGAATCCACTTTTCGTTTTCTCCCTTCTTAAGATGTCCTGAACGGTGGTGAGAGAGTTCTCACCACCGTTCATTCATAGATTATCTCGTAAGAAGTGGACATCCTGCCACCTGTTATGGCAGACAATATGTGCCAGGAAGGGCATCTTCGACATAGCTGTAGAAAGGTGCCACTACTTTCGTGAGGACAAATTGTAGGCAAGAGCTTCAATATTTCATCCAAGGGTCCCAATTGATTAAGTTTTCTATCGTATGAAATACACGAGACGACGTTGACTGATCGGTTGGGGCAAACGGTCTTCCTCATCCCAATTACCACAACGACTGCTCAAAAAAAGCGATGTTTTCTCAAAAACCATGCCACCTCATCTAAGATACGACTTGCAATAAACCACTTTGCTGTTTTCCAAACTTAATGGAGACTCCTCGAACCTGCTCAAATGCTTTTTTAGACACCAATTTGAAATTACAGAGGTCCACTTAGCATATGAGAGCCAATCGACTGTCGCACAAGATACCATGTTGTGCTACCATGCTCTTACTATTGAGAAGCCTGATATACGAGCTCTCATCAATTACAATCGTCACACTCAAATGTGGTGATCATCTTCATGCCCACAGGAGATCGATGTAAAGGGTGAAAGAAGAGTGACAGCTCTTACGTGATTTGTACTTTTGATGCATACATTTCACGAACAACAATGAAAAGGACGATCGTATGAAACTCGGTCAAAATTGCATATGAGCCAGAGCTGTAGAAAAGAGAAGACGTTTTCTGGAATTCCCAGAGGTGAGAAAAAGGAAGTCCTACCTTCTTCTTTTTCTTCTTCTTCTTTTTCTTCTTAAGCTCAGGATCTCCACTAGGGTCCCCGTCCAATCCATTTTCCGACAGAGATGACACTTCCCCCTCGTCCAAACTCTCATCATCCCCGCTGTCAGTACCCGAAACTCCTTCTGCATCACATTCCTCAACACCTGAAAGCCCATCGCCCCCCTCGTCATCACTTGTGAAGTCACCATTTTCCACACCATTCTTGTCCATCTCCACGTCCATCTCCGCTCCTTCTCCTAGACCTGTTTCCCTTCTCGGTGAGAGAGGTGGCGATGAAGGCGCTGGAATTTTCGCAACCCCTGCTACCTCATTCCCGTTCTCTTCCAACCCCATTCCCATCTTCACAACAGCAGGCGCAACAGCCTCCGCACGTACACACCCAGCCTCTTTCTCTACCTCAATCTCCATCTCCGTCTCCCAGACATTAACCTGTTCTCTCCACTGAATCTCTCATCAGCACTCCCGGCCCTCGTCCTAGCCTCCACCCCTCAATCGCTTCCTTCTCTCGCCTCGCCTCGCCTCGCTTCCCTTCCTTTTCCTTCCCTTCCCTTCTGGAAAACAGTAAGGGCACCAGTGAAACATCTACAACATCACCATGTCGATGAGTCCACCAGTCTCATGACCTCCTCTTCCTCCTCCTGGCTCTCCCGCATTAGCATCGGCAGAGATGTGACGCGTCACAACCCCCACTAAGATGGTTCCCATCGGAGACCACATCGGGCCCTTGTTCCCCACCCCTTCAGTTCGGGACCTTCTTGATGGCTCCGGTGCATTCACATGATGGTCGTTTTGCGTTTGGCGGGGAATCTTTGCACGGCTCTTAGATGGAATTTATCCGCATTCAACACTTTTGCGCCGATAAGTTTTACACAAGCGACTCGACATGGATTCACCATCCCATAATGCCGAAAATGGGAGACTTTTTAATTAGATTTTAAGTAATCTCATGAAATACATAAGAAATGAGCTTCAGACGTGTTTTAGCTTCTAAACCACTTCATGCCAGTGTATGTTACTCTCTGGGCAGCAGATCTTGGTAGTAAATCCAGGTGTCAATTCATGGCCTCCATTGTAAAGTAAAGTAATACCCTCTGCAACATCGCCTGCTCTCCCAACACTTAACTTCCTATAGAGTGAAAAGAATTATCTTCCAGTAGGAGTTACTCTTTGGCAGGTTCTACATTGATCCACACTTCTGGTGTTCTAGGCTTTCTCTCTTTTGCTTTTAGGCTAGTGATGGTTCCTCATCTTCTCATGTGCTTGCCTTTAATGCACCCTTTTGGTCCGTAGATACTCTTTTCTGCAAAATTTACACGTAATACATGTTGTAATCATAGTCAACCCCTACAATTCTACTATTACAAAAATCGAATCACGTGATCTATGAATCAATCCTCGTCACGAGAAAATCTCTACTTTCCTTTTAAGGGCTCCTTCTGGATCTTAAGATAGATTTGGGATGGTGACGGAATCAACCCCTCTTTCCTCCAGACATCAATCCATCGACACCGAATGGGAACATAATCATACTTGACTGATAGAAATGTGCCACAAAAATTGGGATCCAAAGAATGAGGAGGAGGCATACCGGTACCGTCTACCGCATCCTAGCTACCACTAGCACCTATCCCGATACACATCTCTCGCCAGCAAAATCTACCATCAGCAGAATCTAGTCACTCGGATTACAGAATGTCCTTCCTTCCTTCCTTCCTAAACTCTACAAAACTCGATGATCGACTCCGAACAAGCGGACAAACCGAAGGAAAGAAACCAAAGCTCATGAAAGCATGAGGTCGCAGAGCAGCAGAAGTCAGTGACCCCAAAGGAAGACGAGAAGGTTCTCTTGCCCGAGGCCCATGAGCAGCAGAATCCACATCCGCATCTCCTGATGACGCCTCCTTCCATCAGGTGCTGCGGCGCCCACACGGACAACGTACGTCACCCGCTCGATCCTTCCTCCCTTCCTTCCTTCCTTCTATCCGTCGGGTCTTGCGACCTACTGACTCCATCGACAATTTGCTTTTTGACCCGTTCTTGCCAGTTTCTGTCCAATCCTGTCCCCTTCAAGCCAAGGGGCTGAATTGCACCTGAAGCTCGAGCGTTCGCGGCTTGTAACCTAACCCCAGTTTTGAATTTGAATTTTAAGCCGACCCTAGATTATCCTCGTTAAGATATGGAACCTGCAGGAATGGCGCCCACTCCGTACTCTTCTGCTGAAAATTTCTTCTTGACTGTATTTCCAGCCTTCTCTATCTCGAGATTAACACAATTACAAGGTCTTCTATCCTGTAATTGTGTAATTTTCCGTGATTTTTAGGAAGACCGTTTTCCACACTTCGCTCTTTTTATTAAAGCTTTGATATTGGTTTCTTGGTCTGCTGGATAGATTATTTAGCTATTCCTCACGACTGCCTCAGCTTCTGTTACGATTCCGTGATGTGATGTAAGCTTTTGTTGGATACATCCAGCAAATAGGTCTGACCTCGACCCCCCACAAAAACTGGTACGTGTTACGGACTGTCTGACCGGTTCTCCGGTAGACACAGTCCGGTGACCCACAACGTGCGAGGCCTGCAAATGTTTCTCCTCGATTGTCTCTCGAGTCAGTTCACCTCAAGCCATTAGTGGATTATGTGTCAACTTATGCACAGATTCCGCGTTATGCATAAGTTTAACCTAAATAATGCGTTTGTTCAATGAAATCGATTTGCTTGGCATATCTTTAAAATAGATATCAAATGGACCTCCTCATACCACCAGTTTTGGATTTAGTTCCTATTACCCAAGTGGACTGTCTTACTCCATGCACGTATGGTCTCACGGCATCCACCATAATGAGTCAGTTGTACTGCACCGTCACATTTACATCTTGATACATCTTTTACACGATCAAAGATTAATATCTTGTTGACATGTGGATTTGAGCCACGTAGATATCCCACTATCTATCCTGCTTATTAGTTACATCCAGGCCTCTCTAAATACGTCATTTGCGGAACTCGATAGTATTTCGTTTTCAAAAAGTAAACTATTTCAACAAAAAAAATCTTTGTTTTCTAGGTGGTTTTACCAAACAAATAACGTAAACACTCAATTAAAACTTTGCAATGACTGTATGGGACAATTCTTTATTGATCTAGTTGGTTTTACAAGCTAAACTAACTGAAACACTCAACTACAACTTGGAGGTGACCGTTTGTGACAATATTTTTGTTAATCTCGATGCCAATACTGGAAAAAACTAACGGAGTTACTCAATCAAACTTTGCAGTGACATCTAATGAGTCAAACCTTGCAAGTTATAGTATTTTGACTCCTTGGTTAAGTAAGGAATTTGTAGCTTTGAGAACACAAGAAATTCTTTAACTGGTTTTAAAATATCAAATAATAATAAAATAATCTCAAGCTTCTTTGGAAAAAAAAGTACATGGTTAAATAGTGAAAGAACACAAAAAGATTTTGGTTTTTGTGAGATGAGAACATTACCAAGTCTAACTTCTTGGTTCACAAAAATCTATTGACTGAACAAGCTGATTCCAGGTATTAAAAATATATTTATTCAACTTATGGAGTTTTTTGAAAAAATTCTTTGCCCTTTTTTGAACTGTGTAAAATGATTTATCAATACTGAAATGGAAAAAGTATATTCAAAAAAAAATTAACACCCATTTTTCTATTGTAAATGTATCACATTGCCGTCAAATTCGGCCAAAAACATAAGAGTTTATGTCAAGATTGGCCAAAAAATGTTAAGTTCCATATATCCCCTATTTTTTTTTTGAGAATTATTCTTATTTCATTACTGTCTAACAAAACAAGCAACAGGAGTTGAGAGTTGATGGGTTAATGCAATAAAATTCAATATGTGGTGAATTCTTTTGACACGTGGACATCTCTGAAATGATTTTATCAAGCAAAAATGACCCACTTCATTGCAATCAAATTAAACCTCATTTATGTGGCCTTGGTAACATCGAGTTAAACACTGAAACCCAATAAAATTCCACGTGATATAAAAGTGTTGTGCCAACCTTGAGAGATGTCTAGTTACATTTGATTTACTAACCTACAGATTTTGTTGGTGTTTGTGATGTTAGTAAGGAGCATGTTGGCTTTTATAATAGCACTATGTACTGCTCCACATCCAATGTGGATCATGCCGAGGTTTTTTCAATTCAGTGCATCTAGAGTTGATGGTGATTAAACCATAACAAATGCTAGCAAAAGTTTAGTAAGAGTCCATGCTTGTTAGGCATAGGGTACATGATGCCTACTTGTTGCATCCACAGGGTCACATACGAATATCTCATATGTAACAACTAAGATGTGATACGAGTTGAAATAGAAACGTGTACATTGAGTTTTCCAAGGATTTGGCGTTGAGTTTGAGAGTGAAAAAAACTAAAATATGTCTTGAATTATGTCATCACAATGTTATGACATGACATGACATGTTTAATACATTAGGTAATTAAAATTTCCAAACATAGTTTGATTGAGACTTCTAAGTCTAGATTTTCATTCATGATACAACCTTTAATTTTTTTAAAAAATTAAATTTTATGTCATGAAAAGATCAGTAATGTATACTAAGAAATCTAACATGATTTATATAATACATATCTAGTTACATAAATGAAAGAAATAAAGAATAATAGACAAATGTAATATTGTTTGTTAGTTACAACTAAAATAAATATTATTTACACATAATAAAGGAACCAAATTATAATGTACAATCCATAAAAGTAATGTCGATCATACATGTTTTTTATAATTGAAAACTAAATGTTAGATAACAACATAACTCAAGAATCTATGTGCTTGTTAGTATAGGATTGGGTATATAAGTAAAACCAAGTGATACATAAAATCACAACTACAATATTTTCAGCTTACAATTTTTTTCAAAATATTAAATAAAATGAATCAAAAATTGGTTACAAAATTCTTGAACTAGATGAATAATTTTAAAAATAAATATGATTAAAAATGACCTGTATCGGAGTCAAATATGTTATAAATTTTCCTAGATTTATATATAATTGGTTTTTTTAATGAACATAATAAATTAAAACAAAATTCAAATTTAAAGTAAAAAAATCAAATTATTTTAATAAATAAAACTAAATTCCTTCATTAAAAATATATATTTTATAATTTTGAACATTACTCCAAATTTGTGTTGTATATCCCCATCATAAAATTATATATAAGTTTAAATATAACTTGTGTCAATCCAAAAAGATGTTATAATTCAATTTGTAATATGATATTGGTAATTTGATTATTTTCATTATGGATATTTCTTCATCCCAATTTTATGTATATTCATATAATATCTTATTGTTTAATGTTTTTACCGCTCGTTAAAAAATAATGTACATGCAATATGCTCTACATAATAATAAAGTTGAAAATAATACATCTTCGAGGTATGAATTGCTTATGTTAATATGACATAAGTTATTACAATGATTATGTTAATTCACTTAAAATTCAAAAACATTACTTCAAGTTTTAATTTAAAATTCAATGACATATTTTATTATAAAAATCTTAATATTAGATCAAAATACATGTGTTTGGAAGCATTTTAAACATTTATCAAATCAAAATGTTCAAACTTTAAAATAATACCATAATAATAAACAAAACTTATGCTTGTGATTGATTCTTACAAATGGTGAGACATTCATATAAAATATTTGTGCTGAATTGATGATAACGTATGTGTTTTTGTGTATATGTCAATTTAATCATACAAATTAATTTTTAAAACTGAGATTAACATAGTCATACTAAAGATATTGCCAACTGAATTATTAATAATGTGAATTTCATTGAATATACAGTAAACAAATATATAATTAATTTAGTATTATATAGAATTATCATGTTCTAATTCAATCAAAGTACATCTATAACAACCTGTTTTTTATCATGTTATTTTATTAATAAAAAATGTTTCATAAAGCAAAAGTCATCTAGAAATTGTAACTAAAAAAACCTAACAATAAAAAAATGTAAATAGAATGTCACAAATATGTCAAAATTGTAAATAACATAAATTAAAAAGTTGTGAATAATAATAAAATACAAAAATTGACAATTTTGTTGGAATATTTTATATGATCATATTGAAATAAATATGTTTCATGTTTATACATTTTAGCACAAAAGAATAATATTTTAAGAGTTATTTTGAAAAGAATTAACATAAATCAAAAACAGAAATTCAGAAATAAATAAATTTCTAATTAAAGATATGTTTATTAACTGAATATTTCAACAACAAAATAATAATTAAAAAATTTTGTTTGGAAATTTTATTTTCTACAAGAAAATTGCATCCAATTTTTCAATTATTAATAAACTTAACATATAATTAATATGTCAAGCATAATAATGAAAATCATAGCTATTGGACACCAAATATTTGTAGGTTTTCATGTAGCTTATTTCATTATCATGATTTGGGTGACAACTGCATATATAAAAAATAGTAATTACTCAATTTCAATGAAGTCTGTCATATTATTTAAAGAGATACAAAACATTCAGGCTTGATTTTAAAAAATATTAGTTTTCTATTTTATTTTATTATTAAGGTTCATAATACATAATCAAATAAACATTCAAATTCAAAAATTTTGAATTGTAGAAATTAAATTTTTAATGTATTTATTTTCAACCTATAAGTTTGCATATAAATTATGATTGACATAATAATTAAAAAAAAGTCTTGAATGATATTTTTGATAAAACAGGCGATAAAAAATAAGAAAATTTTGCTCAATATAAACGGAAATATGATAATTGTGTATATATTCAAAATAGAAGTAAAATGAAAATTTATAAGTTTTAAGTTAAAATGAACACAATCATGCAATAAACTCATCATTACATATAAAAACAACAAAACTGTATTTATATTCTAATTAATGAAAAAATTTAAATAAATTTATCAAATGGTAATGTTTCACATTTATTTATCAATTATTTTAAAAATCAATAATATATACAATAAATTTTTTCTCTCAATTATTCCAGATAAGTCCAATACACACGAGATTTTTTATCATTTTCCTGAATTGAACTTGTAAATTGACCAACTTCTGTAGATTTTGTGCAAACTGAAATTTGCCTTCATTTCAATAGATGAATGAAAACTATTCAGGTTTTCTTATATTTGATAACATGAATGGTTTGTTTATATTAACATTCAAATATTAATTTTTTGCTTTATGTGAATGAAAAATTGAATATGCATTGAATAGGGAAAAAAGTGGATAGATATATTATTTTAAATCATACAAAAGAATTAAATAATTTGTTTAAAAATCTAAATAATAGATGTTAAAACTGTGTTTGCCAACTCTACATATTAGTTACAAGTAAATTTTATCAATAAATAATGTTTCAAGTATAATTTTGTTTAGAAAAACTTTGACCTAATTCTAGTAAATCTCCACAAGTATTCTTTATCAAGGACCGTTTTTTCTAATTTTTTTTTTATATGTTATTCCAAATTTACGCAATTTTGACATGTAATTGTTTATAAACAATCATTGTTTGAAGTATAATTTCAAAAAATAAGGATTGACGAACTGTACGAACCCTTGACAAGTAATTTTTATCAAAAATTGTTCTTGCAAAATCAATTTTATAAAGAAAGCCTTTGCCATTTTTTACACAATATTGACATGATATTTTATCAAAATTCTGGAAAAAACGATTTTGTAAAAAATGAACTTTATTTTTTTATAGGTATTTTAATCCGGCTCTCTTGGATGACAGCCGGTTATCATGATCAAGTAAACTACAACGGAAGATGCAACATAATGTTCTACTTGTAAATTTATTACATACTTCAATGTTGTTATCAATAATTCCAACAAGAATCTAGACTAAATCATCCTTTGAAACCTAAAACTAAAATCTCATGTTATTGTATAAGTTATAAATATTGTCAACCACATATATGTGGTTAGATTGTGTGACTAAATTTGTGTTGTTCATGATTAGAGGATCTATATAGATTGTGAACTCCATAGACATGTTAGAAAGAAGCATGATTAAAGTATATGTCTAGATTTGTGGTTTTCATAGTAGCGTAACACTTTTTAAAAGAATTGTTGGCCAATCGTTCACAATTTTGACAAGTGATTTGAATCCAAAATTGTTATTCCAATTATAGTTTTCAAACAAAAATCTTGGACAACTTTATATAATCTTGACAAGTAGTTTTTTATCAATATTTTTTGTTTTAAGTATGATTTCAAAAAAGAAGTGTTAGAAAAGTCTACATAATATTGACAAGTAGTTTTTATCAATAACTATTGTTTCATGTATAATTTCCACACAAAAAATGTTGGACAAAATTACATAATCTTACATAACAAGTAGATTACATCAAGAAATGTCGTTTTAAGTATAATTTCAAAAAAGAATTGTTAATAATTTCAAAAAAGAATTGTTAAACAACTTTACATAATTTTGACAAGCAATTTTGTATCAAATACGGTTGCTTTAACTATATTTAAAAAAAAATGTATGTCCAACTTTATGGAATCTTGACAAGTATTTTTTATCAAAAATTGTTTTTTCAAGTATAATTAAAAAAATGAAATGTTAGCCCAACTCTACGTAATCTTCACAAGTAACTTTGATCAAGAACCATTGTTTCAAGTATCATTTAATCATTTTGATATGTTAATCAAAATTATTCCTCTTGAAAAATTTGGAAACCATTGTGTTCCTTAGCAAGTTTTGCACGAGTAACATGATTAAAATTTACTTCCAATATTATGTCTTTACACTTATTTTTACTCTTTTATGCTTGCGCTACTGCTGAATTTTAACAAGTTTCAATTTAGATAGTGACCGTGTCGGATTTCATTTAAAATATTGGTCTAGAGTAATTACATAAGTTATGGAATTTATTATCTTTGAAGAATGAGTAAAGTAAGATATTGTTATCTATAAACTTATGTCTATAGTCAGTTTGAGTTCAGATTATTACTGACTGAAAGTGGAGCTAGCCAAAACTTTGGATGATTTTTTTAAAGTATAAACTTTCTGTGTTTTTTTTTTTTTTTTGCTGGTTTGTGTAGCGCTCATTAGCACACTATGTACTTATGTGTTGGCGTTTCTTTAAATTCTTTTGTATTCATGTTTTTTTATTGTGATTCATACCAAAATATATGAATTATGGAATCATCAATCATTCATTTTTGAACATTCACTTGAATTTTATATTTTTTTAGGATATAGAGTAAGATCAAAAAATATTACAAAACATATATGAAAATTTGTGGCAATAAATATTATATTTGACTTTTCTAATTACATTTTTTATTACATTTTAGACTTTGATAATTTGCAGTCAAGATTACATTTTAATAAAAATTAATAATAGAGTATATATATTAATATATTTGTATGTGTTAACAATGAAAATATGACGTTATATAATTTATTATATATAATTCAAAATTAATGTTTTGTAGGTAAATAATGCTATATTTGATAATGTTCAATGCATGCTTAGTTTTATAAATTTTTAATGATTTTTATCTATATTAATAGTTGACATGTATTTTTGATGTAAAACCAGTAATGTTTTTTGATATATGTATGTTCATAGTTATAGACAGATAGATAAATAAATTAATGAACAAATATATATGCAGACACATTTTTTTTTTCGTTTGGAAATATCGAATAGATAGTATATGTTATTTAAAAATATCGAAGATTATGAAGACATGTCAATAATAAATTGAAATTTTATTTATTTTTTCAACAAATTTTAATCATGATATTATATAATGTTATGAGGTGACGATAAAATAATGAGTTCAAATAATTATATCTGCGTACATACATTCAGTTTTTTATCTTATTTGATTGTATTGAATACAATTACCATATATGTTGAATTTTTCATATGACATTTTTCTCAATACAATGTTATGTATTTTACTCTGCATTGAGAAAATATAAAATTTTCTTTTATTTTCAGTTCAGCTTTATTGTTTGAAATTCAAAATTGATTCAGCACACAAGAATGATGTAGACAATACTTTTAAAAAATCAAATTTGTTTGTGATTTTTGCAAATACACAAATCTTTTTGTAAGTATAGAGAATATGAATTTTTTCACAGAATAAAAGTTATTGAGACTACAAATTTACCATGTTAAATTTTATTTATATAGAAATGTTTGAATTTTTTTTACCTTTTGTGGATATTAAATTGTTTGTAGAGTTTTGATTGTGAAATTTGTCTTATTCACATGAGATGAGTAAGAGTTTGCATCATGGAAAGTGTGTGATGAGGTTTAAGTTAGCATTAAACTATTTGTAATTCCTGGTTGAACAATGCCATCAAATTTTGTTGGCAATGTCATAGTGCTCATGTTGATCATTATTCAAAGGGACTATATTTTTATGATAGAATTCTATTTATAGTTCAAAGCATTTTTTTTCTTTAAATCAATCTCACATAAAAAAGCAATGTACGATATGTATGATGTTTGAAATTTTGTTTTTCATGTTTCATTTTTCACACAAACGTAAATCAAATTCTGTGTATCATGGTTTTGTTAAGTTTATTAAGTTATTTATTGAGTTTCTTTGTCAAGAAATCTAACTTTGTTTATAATTGTGAGTTTGATTTGAAATATTTGTGTGTTATTTTATTTACTTCATGTATAAAGTCATAGGTTTTTAATTGATATATTTCTTTATATGCGTATTCTTATTAAATAGTTCTTTGTAGTCATCCGACTAGAACCTTGATGATTATGTCAACTTCAAGATCATAGAATATTGCTGGAAAATCACATTTTAAAAAAAAAGCTTGACGATGATTATGATTTTAGGTTTCTATTTTATTTGCATTATTGTCATATTTGAAAAAAATGGATATGAGAATCATAAAAAAATTGTCCTTTGAATTTAGCACAACTATTACCGCATATTGTGAAGAATATTGTAAAACTAGGAGCTATTTTGATCTTTTTGGGCTTGGTTTGTTGCTTACTGATAATATGGAAATTTTTGATATCATCATAGACTATGTGTCTGTACGTATTTATTTTCGTGATAACGAAGGCTAGACGCACTTTACCCGCTTGGTTTCATTCTTGGACTAACTGATGATGAATTACTGTCATTTTCAATGTTACTGGGTCGTACTCATTTTGAATGGCACCTCGGGCAGTAACCTCCAAGCAATAAGCTAATAAAGAGACTTTTGTCGGTGGTCAAAGGACTTTAGGTCCGGAGTCCATCGAAATCCGGCTGTTTACTCGTGACGTCGGGAATGTATAAACTCTGTCTACGTAATATCTGTCCAGTACATACCAGAATAACTCTGAGATCCCGGTCACAAGTCGCCAATAGTGTAGACTTTAGTCAACTCTGATGGGTTGCTAGGTTGCATGTCTCCTGGAAGAAATGAATAACGTCTCAATGATTATACACAGAGCTATTATTTGGTCACCGTGATATTCCGAGAGTCTTACGTAAAGCTTCGATTGGATGTAGATATGGTATTAATATTTCAGGGAGATGATGAAAGCGGGAATATTTGCCGGACGTGTAACCGCCGGGGAGACCCTCAGGAAGAGATGAATGAAAAGACGTCGAGGAGACGCGAGGTCTTGTGTTGACCGGAGCAGAAGAAAGCGGAGGCTCTTAGGGCTTCGGACCGAGACGGCCCCCGGACCTGTGGCCGGAGCAGAAGATGCGACAGACCGCGGGAAGTACAGTACCGGTTTACACTACATACGCTCCTGTAGCGTATAGTACAGTAGACGGCCCATGCTAGCGAGCGCTCTCGCTCGAGGCTCCGCTTGCTTGCGCCTTTACGTCATCCGTCGTCCCTCCCTCGACCCCTTCAAAGCTGCTGCTTCCGCCTCCTTCCTTAATCCCTTCCTTCCCTCCTTCCGTGTGAGATAGACGACGCCGACCACGTAGCCCCTCCTCTCTCTCTCTCCTCCTCTTCCTCGCGTGTGGCCCGGTCGGTGCCTACGTCGTCGTCGTCCGATCCCCGACTCTCGAGGACGGACGAGTCGTCGTCGTGGTCGTGCGCGCGCGCTCGCGCCCTCGTTCAAACTTCGAGCGAGCAGGACGAAGCAACTCGGCAGCTGGCTGGCCCTTGGTACCCCACTTCGCGCACTTCCCCCCATGCGCCCCCATTTGCAGCAGCAGGAGCAGCGGGACCTTGCCTTCCTCTGGCAGACGCTTGCTCGGCCGCTCGACGGCGTCGTCGCATTCAGCGGGAGGCTGTGACGTGAACGACCGGCTGGCGGGCGTCGTCGAGGCGGTAGCGCTCTGGATTTCCGGAGGCGGTAGCAGCAGCAGCAGCAGGTCGTCGGTCTGCTCGGCCTCGGACTCTCGTGGACAGTTCGTGTCGGGGTGCGGGATTTGTTTGCTGAGGCGAGAACAGCAGCGCCCGCGAGCGTCTCGACAAACGATCGTTCCGGATTTGGATACGGCACTGCGCTTCGCGGTGAGTTTGAATTCGGAGCTTGCGGTGTCTTTTTGCGTGCCCTAACCCTAATCCCCATTCGTTAGAGAGTCCATTCGAGCGTGTCTGTCATGCGAGCGTTGCGTTCGGGGGTTTATTTTGGCCATTTGCTTCGAGGGGCTCGGGGCTCGTGGCGCACGTCTGGCGATGCTTTTGTGGGGGATTTCGGTGGCTTCGCCGCGAGAGTGTGTGGGAGACCGCGGTCGGTGATGAGCTCGCAGCTTGCAGGTTTTGATGGATGTGAATTTGGGGTGGAACGGACGGTTTCTTGCGTGCAGAGGATCGTCGTAGGAGCTGCAGGGTTGGGCGAAAGGCGTGCGAGCGCGGTGAAGTGAGTGGTCGTTCGTTCGTGTGTGGGTGGGTGTGCTGGGCGACCCTGAGAGCCTGTCTGTTGCCCGGCGAGGGTGCCATGGCGGTCCCGGCGGACCAAGAGGTAAGCTTCAGGCTGTGGCCTCCGAGTGACAGCACTCGTGCTCTGTTGGTGGAGAAGATGGCCACCAACCTGGCTTCGATCTCGTTCTTCTCTGTGAAGTACGGGCGCATCGACAAGGCCGAGGCAGCCCAGCAGGCGAAGAGAATCGAGGAAGAAGCTTTTGTAGTTGCTCAGCAACAGGAGTGCGAATCAGACAGTGCTACGGTCCAGATGTATGCCAAGCAGGCCAGTCGACTCATGCTAGAAGCTCTGAAAGCTGCGGGCAAGAGAGGTAACTCGTCAGTTAATCACAGCCGTGCTGTCACGCGCAGTAACGAAAAGATCATGTTTCAGTTTCACATCAGAGCTTGGCACCCAGCCTGGGTTGTTTAACGGGTTTCACAGTGCTGAGTGTGCGTTGTTTCTGCAAGTCTCTTTCCACCTTTTGCCCTGCTGAACTTCTGAGGCAGTCTTACGAAAGGTGAGCTTGACGTTTAGGATCCTCATCGTTCCAGGTATGCATGAGGTATTAAAAGCCTAGTTTGCTCATCATGCTGTGAGTGCACGAGTTCAACTTTTGTGTGTGTGGCTCGTGGAACAATTTAACCGTGGGTGAATTCTGCCATACTTTGGGGCTGTAACAGTTTACCAGTCCGTCTATGCGTGCATGTGTGAAGGAGGGATGTGTGGATGAGCGAATCGAACTGAACAAACCTTCTTTTGTTCTCTCACAGAAACTTTCTTCGATATATCTGGAGGGAAGAGAGCATTCCTCAACAAAACAGAAGCCCAGGAGATTTTGAAGCCGTTGACAGAGGCAGGAAATGCTTACAGCAAGATCTGCTTGAGTAATTGGAGTTTCGGTAAGGATGCCGGATTGGTTGCGCAGGAAATCCTGTCCGGAATCAAGGGGAATCTCCTAGACGTCAACTTGGCAGATATTGTAGCTGGAAGGCCGGAGGTGGAGGCCTTGGAAGTTATGGCCATGTTCTCCGAATCTCTGGCCGGGAGCAAGTTGAAAAGTTTGAACCTTTCCGACAATGCTTTGGGCGAGAAAGGTGTGAGAGCCTTTTCCGCTCTCCTAAAATCCCAAAGGTCCCTGCAGGCCCTGTACTTCATGAACAACGGGATCTCGGAAGAAGCAGCACGGGCAATATGTGAGCTCTTGCCTTCTGGACAGGATTTGCGAACTCTGCACTTTCACAACAATATGAGTGGTGACGCCGGTGCCCAGGCCCTGGCGAGCTTGGTAGAGAAAGCCACTCTGTTGGAAGATTTTCAGTTCTCGTCGACGCGGGTGGCAACTGAAGGAGGAGTGGCATTGTGCCAGGCCCTTCAGGCTGGCAAGAGCTTACGGAGGATTGATATCAGGGATAACATGTTCGGACCCCAAGTTGGAATTGCTCTGTCCAAGACGTTGACGTTGCATCCCGATCTAGTAGAAGTGTACCTCGGGGATATCGGAATGGAGGACGAAGGTGTGACTGCCCTTGCCAAGGCATTGACAGGTTGCCTTCCAAATTTGAGAGTGTTGGATTTAGGGGGAAACGAAATAGGTCCAAAATCCGCTCCCTTTCTCGCAGATTGTATAAAGACGAAGCAGGCCTTGATTTCCTTGAATTTGGCGGAAAACGAGTTGAAGGATAAAGGCGCTGTGATCATCTGCGGGGCCATCAAGGAAGGTCACACCTCCTTGAAGGAGCTGGACTTGAGCAGCAACGAGCTGACCAGAGTCGGTGCTGTGGCAGCGGCGGAGGCAGTAGCCAATAAGTCGGCTTTCACGAAATTGAATCTTGATGGGAATCGCATTTCCGAAGCCGGAATCGTTGCCCTCAAGGAGGCCCTTGACAATGGATCGGCAGGTCAAAAGGTACTAGCTTCGTTGGACGACAACGGAGAAGAGGACGATGGTGAGGACGAGGACGACGAAGAAGAAGACGAGGACGACGACGATGCCGACGACCTTGGCATGGACCGTCTGAAAGTCTGAAAAAGAGTCCTGCGATCATTTTTACCGGGCACCGCCCACTTGTCCATGAGTACATATGAAACAGTTATCGAATTAGGGAGGGTTCTGTGAAATATTGTTGCAAAATCCGTGATATCGGTCGAGTATAGGTTAGTGAAAATGATGAGGGAAAGTCTCCTGCCATTCAAGTATAGAACAATCGAAACGTCTCAGGGTAACCCATTTTAGACCATGGCAGTTTCTGATGTGGTTTTTTAAGATGTCTGCAGTTAGTACAGAATATCGTCAATGTGCCATTTATAGAAGTGCCTGGAGTAACTTCAGAGACGGTCACTTTGTACGATGGTGGAGTTTTTGGCTAGGTTCATCCCGTTGAAGTCCTAGAGTTGATTGGAATTGGTCAACTGAGTCTAGGGTTATGAAAGTACAGGCTGAAGGTATTCGTTCGTAGGTAAAGGACTCATGTCTATGATGTAGACAAAATTGTTATGAGTAGATATGTGATTCAATGAAGAGTTGAGCGTGAGGTGATGCACCCGTATACCCTATTCGTCCGACCGTGTAAACAACATTTTGTGCATTTCTGAAATCCGTTTTCTTGCACGAGATGAAATGTGTCATGTCAGAGTTCTGTCTACATTCCACCGACGGTTGTTCATTTCATCTCAACGGAAATCTGAAGTTTCTGAAGTCCGGGGGTGGTTTCGATCTCGGACAACGTTATTGGAACACGTCTCCGGAAAGATACTTTCGTCCTGAAAAATCGCTTTTATTTTTTACAGGAATGAGATTAAGCCTGGATTTCCACTGAATGTGGAACTTTGGCTATCAAAAATTTGAAGAGCTGTAAGTCGCATGCACGCGGTTAATGCTCTCTGACAATGCATGCGCCCGTGATCATTGCAGTATTCTCATGTTGAATGTGAAGCCGAAATATGCAGCGAGATTTTCTTCCGCAATGAAGATAGTGCTCTGCAGGCTTTGGCTCCAGGCTCTTTCTGGAGAGAGTGTATGGCATGGGACACACATCTCGGAATTGCGAAATCATGTGGAACGCCCTGAAAGGCATGCAGGCACTGAACACGGAACTGTCTCGACCAACATGTGCGATGGAGGATATACGCCTGTACCATGTGACATGACGTGCGAACGAAGGCGGTGACGTGGCATGCAGGGCGGTGGCGAAAAGTCAGCTGGTGACCACGTCACGGGGGGTGCAAGTCCGCGCAAATCTGAACCGGATATAGTGAAACCTGCACACGGCAACTCCGTGGATACTGTGCAGGAGACGTAATGATATCCCAGCAGAAGGAATGTCACGGCCGAAATGTGAAGCGACTTGCAAGTCTCTGACACAGCTTTCGGCCACGTAAGACTCGCTGACGTCACTGGGCCTGAGTCCTCTGAAATCAATGCCAGCTCGACATCGGACGGCTGTATCGGGCTCTGCTTGGCACGCCAGATGCACGTACCAGGCGACTCCATGAGACCACACAAGTCAATGAACCGTTGGGAGTATGAAGATCGAGCTGCAGGGCCACGTGAGCAGCATTCAGGAAGCTGTACGTGCTCAGTGGTGTACAGAACGTAGCTCTCATGGAAATTTCACTGTCACATTGACGTTATTACATCATGTCAAGATTCAGAGAGCTGCAGCCGCCATTTCTCAGTCAAATCGCGTTTAGACAGACAGTCACAAGGATGTCGTAAATTTCCCGACACTCGACTCTTGTGAATTCCGTGCAAAATCACGTGCGGATATAATTTTCCTGCCCAGTGGAGGTATCGAATGTCATCTGAAAGAGTTTCTCTTGGCTTTGGGAAGATTTTCATTCCTGTTTGAAATTGTAATCTGCACGATGATTTTGAGCGCTCGAAGTACACAGCAGGACTTGCGGATTTCACTCGAGTTTTTGGGAGATTAGTATTCCAAATTTATGGGACTGATTATAATATGCTTGCTTGAGTGTGGAGGCAGACGTGCGAAGAAGGGCGAGTATTGGAAATTTTGTACAAATCCAAAATGATGGACAAATATACCGAATAAATTACAATGGCCTCTCCTAAAAGGAACGATTTCGAAGAAATTGTATGTTTGAAGAACATGTTATGTCAGATCAGCGTCCAGCTGACAGCTCGACGGCTTCCATATTGACGGTGGAGTCTTCGACCCATTCGAAGTAGCGATGAGGACCTAAGTCTAATTCCCTTTGTCTCACGAGCTCCAGCTTCTCCCACTGCTCCCATCGTTCGGCCAGCCCATCCCCTTCCAGCATGCGCACCACTTCGGTCATCTTCGGCCGATCAGAAGGAGACGCTTGAGTGCATAAGAGTGCCACTTGGATCAGCTCTTCCACCTCGCGCGCGTTGTAACTTCGCTTCAACTCCCCGTCCACCAGCTGCTCTAATTTCTTTTCATGCTGTAATCTCTTGACCTGCAGAGAAAGAACACATAAAGTTCAAGCACACGCCTCAAACTCCATACAGTCAAACATCCGCTAAGATCTTCAAATTAATTTTCTTACTCCAGCTTCTCGCATCCCATCTCACCTGAGTCGTGTTAAATCTAACAGAATCCAGTAAGGCATTAGAGAGGAAAGAAGGAACGACGTGGCAGATAATTCTGTCAAAGTTGAAGAAAGAAGGTTTCCATTTACGCAGATTTGGCATAACAATTTTCATATCCAGATCATTACAAGGCTAGTTGTGCAGCAGCTTCATCTCCATTTCTTACTGCCTCAAATGCTTTGTTCAAAACAGGTATCTAAATTCTCGAGAAGAATCCTTCGTGATCCTTTGAGTCTTCACGAAGATCACATTTTATTGCCGAGCCTGTAAAGACATCTGCTTCTACTCAGTTAGTCGAATTGAGAAAATGGTGAATTTAGTGGTTCAGAGCTGGAAAAGAGTACGAAGTGAGGCAGAGAACTGTACCCAGTCGAGCAGCATGAGATCGTCATCATTTGCAAGCCGCTGGAAATCGTAGGCTCGCTGCCCGGTGATGAGCTCTAGCAACATGATTCCATAGCCGTAGACATCCGTCTTTTCAGAAGATTTTCCAGTTGACAGATACTCTGGTGCGATGTGGCCTGCTGTACCTCGAACCGCTGTCGTCACATGGGTGTCCTTATAATCGATAAGTTTAGCCAATCCGAAGTCCCCAACCACTGCCTCATACTCCTCATCGAGCAGCACATTGGCCGCTTTCACATCACGATGGATGATCTTCGGGTCACAATGGTCATGCAGATAGGACAGTCCCCGAGCAGCCCCCAAGGCTATACGCTTCCGAGTAGGCCATCCAAGTCCTGGGTCCCCATTGTAGTGATCTACAAATCAAACGTAAACTTAAATTGTCGATCAAATTCCAACCCCCCCCACCCCCCCCCCCCCCCCCCCCCCCCCCCCATTCACTTGGCGTATGATCTACGTGATACAAAGCGTTTCGAAGACATATGCTTTCTGCTCGGTGGCAGTGTTGGAAGATCAGTTTCATGTGGATTGTCCGTATGAAGGAAAGTAGGGGAATGTACCTCGAGGATTCGAAGCTCTCAAGTGAGATGCCACACTCCCGTTGGGCATGTAAGGATAGACCAGGATCCGCTCGGAAGGAGTAGTGCAAAAGCCTTGCAGGCGCAGAAGATTCCGATGGACTGCGTTGCTGATCATTTCTACCTCTGTTTGGAAGGCGTGTTCACCCTCAGGCGAGTGGTCCTCTTTCAGTCTCTTGACAGCAACCGTCGTTCCGTCACTCAGATAGCCCTTGTACACCTTGCCGAACCCACCTTGGCCGAGGATATTTTTGCTGCTGAAATTATCCGTGGCAATCTGGAGTTCTCGAAACGAAAACTTCTTCAGCTGTCCTAGAGGCACTTCGGGGTCATCCTCGGCTGCCAAGAACCAAACCCGATCAGTACTTGAAACTCCTCTTACTGTTCTAGTGATCCCATTACAACCGTTCTTATGTCTAGAGGACAACCACGGAAGAATCGACGAAAACGTACGACTTATTTTTACAAAATTCCGACATGCGACTGCGTACAACTTCGGCAGCCACTTTAACAGATCCAAAGCTTGCAGTACTATCGCTTTCAGAGCTATTTGAGTGCTTACAGAAATTGCATTCACAGACTGCCTCATAGGACTACCATCTTCACAATATACATCAATGAGTCCAGTAAAGGGTAAAGGTACGTAAAAAGACGGTATAAACGTAGCTGGCTGAAGTACGAGGCTTCTAAGAATTTTCGTTAGCTTCATTAATCGCTTTAGAGTTTGAACTGAAGAATTACAGAGAAATCACGCAGTAAAATATTGCTTTACTTTTACTCCGTAAACACTGGCGAAGTTAGGAACAGCTTACCCGCAACGTCAAAGAAGTTCTCTTTTCGATTCAAGCGCTTGTGCTTATGGTATAGGAAATAGAGTGTAACAGCTGCCACCACAACTACACAGGTAACCAAGCCACCAAGAAGTTTCTTGTTCGATTCTGAATCCGAGTGGCCTGAGTAACAACAACACGAGTGTCATACATATAGCACAGGCTGCAATGCTCCACTACAAGCTGTGAAAATGAGCTTGATCTTACAATCATAAGACTTCCTATTTGCATCTGGATCAAGGCGCTTGATCTTGTTTCTGAATGGATAATACTTTGAAGCATTGAAAAAACGCAATCACTTTTGACTTCTTCGGGATCATCTCTATGCTGCTGCCACATATAATGATGAGGAACTACTCTAGACAGTTGCGTGCCCCGACATATTCTAAGTCTAGAATATAAGACACAATTCGACACTTGAGTTTACAAATTCCGAGTGTTCACTTTTATACCTGTATAGCGCTGGTCCACTGCAGGCTACTGAAGATGTCCTACTATACATAGAGTAGGGAAAGATTCTCGGGGACTATCGTCATCCAGGTTATTACAATAAGTACAACGGTAAGTACCTTCTGATATTGCTGACGACTGAGGTGAGATTAGAGGATCCCCGGGGCAAGGATTGCCAGTGATGGCACCACACAAAAAAGGGTTGCCATCTCCCCTGCAGCAAAATTAAAGCTTATTCTTATCTTGTAAGACAAAAGGTTGTTCTTCATGGGTTAAGGAAAATATCCTCCCACGTCACTTATTAGAAATAAAAGTTCTTGATTCACTCCAGTCGGGAACTAGACGTTGGCACTGCACCAGATTTCAAACAAGCAGCCGTGTCGGTGCTCTAGGAATATGGACGAAGAGGGAGTGTGAATCCGATGTTCCTCTTCACGACTATATGATTCTCACTACGGCTCAAAAGGTCTATTCACGAATGCTGTTACATCCCTATTCTTCACACTGACGTGACCTTCGAACTGGAATCTAAAGGCGCCATAACACATAGTTATAAATCCAACACATTATTGATTTAATCACTGAGTTGTTCACACTTCATTCAATGTACCTGAACTGCTCAACTTTTACATCAACGGGTACTCGTCCAGATAAGTTATTGAAACCAACATCCCTGCATATTATGAGCAACAATGATAAGAACCAAGGGAAAACGAAGACGTTATTCAATAAGTTACACGTTTAAACAAGCAAGGAGTGAATTAAAAAAATGCTAGCAGGATAATTTTCAATATGAATTTTAGAGGAAAAACATAGTATCACATCAAAGTCATGGTCCCGAGGTTCTAGAAAACTAAGAGACTTTCATAGTACTAATCATTTTACAGATTTATTCACAAATGCCCAAATGATTCAGTATGCTACTTACAAGACCTGCAAGTTGGAAAGATTTGCAAGCGAAGCAGGAATTTCACCGGAGAGACTGTTGTTGAAAAGCCGCCTGTGATTCAGACAGTTCATATGAATATCTAATATTTCTCAAATTCTAGCAGAATTTGAATCCATTTCGACCAAGACGTTGGCTTCAATGCTCTAATCATAGACTGAATAACGTAAAAAACAGGATATCGCGAATCTCTCTACGATGACCAACTCCTCCTAAGGGGAAAAAACCCTCCCAACTTATATATACGTAAAAGAAAGAAGTTTGAAGAAAGGACCCCACAGATGGATAACTTGCCAACTTGTCAGAGTAACATGCCAAGACGACGAGGCAGATAAGTACGTACAAAAACTTCAGTTGAACAAGAGCACCAAGGCTGCTGGGTATCTCCCCTGTAAAATTGTTCTGATATAGGTCAAGGCTTTGCAGGTTTGTCAAATCGCCAAGACTGTCGGGAAGCGGACCCGTGATATGATTGTTCTGCATTTTCCTGATCGTTCCGATGCGTCAGAAAATTCCTAATATTTCATACTCAGGAATGTCACTATCAAAACCCGGAAAGAAACACAGAAAAATCTGAATTCTTGACATGCACTCCTCGAACTGACCGGTGTACACCTATAATGCATAAAGATTGTCTAGAGAAAACAGCAGGGCAATCCTCGAACTGACCGGTGTAGACCTATGATGCACGAAGATTGTCTAGAGAAAATAGCAGGGCAATCACTGGCCGTCCCCTATCTACCATCAGTACAAGCTTTTACGTCAAACGCGACTGACGTCAGCCCATTGAAAGGAAGTGGTCAGGATATTACTTACAAATACTGCAAATTCTTCAGGAGTCCTATACTGGGAGCTAAGGTTCCAGACAACCCCTGCATCCCCAAATCCCTGCAAGCACATCGAATCACGACCATTACTGGGTTTCTTAAGTCTCACTCTTAGCTAGGAAATGCCAGAGAAGCAAAAGCATTTACCTCGCTTTTGACTAGGAGACACATCTAATGAGAGCATGGACTTCCAGACCGACAGCTGAAAGTTCACTGAAGGTGTAATACGTGAGTCAGCTACAAACAGTAAGCAACGTTCTGTCGAAACAACTCACATGGGGAGGAAGGCAGAAGCTCAAACGGGCTACAAAGCAACAAGAGAAGGGCAATCGCGCGACATACACTCTGACGACGCTGTCTCCCTCGCAGTCGACGTATGGCCAACTGCATGGATTGACCATCTTCGGATCCCAGCTTCGGAGGGTGTCATTGGGATCGACCAGACTCGATCGCACCAGGTACAGAGCATCACCTGCGACCGTTTGTCAAACTTCAGCTTAGACAGCACAAATCGATCCCTCAGTTGCCTCCAGCTCAGACATTGCCAATTCGCATTTCTTCACTCACTTAAACCCTCAAATACCCGATCACAAGTTTCACTCCGCATGACACCAAAACCCTCAGACTCTCACCTTCCCTCCTCTCGTCCCACGATCAGCCCTCGATTCCGACAGCGGTCACGACAGTTCAGAACAGGCACGACAACTTTCGATGCTAACAATCCAACAACAAAGACCCGCAGAACAATTCCTCCCGCAAATAAATGGCACTCTTTCGGAACCTCGCAGTGCCATCGAATGACGGCCGAGAGCCACCAGCCCGTGCATGATAATGCCGGATTCTCGAGCGCTAGAGTACGGCATTGTCACCCTACCAGCTCCGAGATGCTTCTCACATCTCTGTGTCAATCTTCCGTAAGATTTCACCGGCCCCATCATTCAGTCGACCCACTGGAAGAGCCACGGCCGGAAATTCAGGCCGACCTTAACGCCCCCGGAATCCACGCACTGGAACCGGGAGCTGTCCTTCGTGCACCTTCTGACATGGACCGCAACGAAGGCATTGGACGGAAGAGCGGGCAGCTCGAGCTGGAAAGGACATCTCGGGCGCAGAGGACAGCGAGCCAGACCGAGGCCATTCTCGGCCTGCAGGCAGCTGCGATGACCATCTGTCCGTCGTGACGACGACGACAATCATCTCTGCACTGCTTCCTTCCTTCCTTCCTTCCTTCCCAATCCCGCGTCGTCTGCGCTGCCATCTCCATCTCCATCTCCACTCCGACTCGAATGGAGACAGAGAGGCGAGAAGGCATTTATAAAAAAAGAAAATTAAAAAACGAACGTACGAAAGAACGACTGAAGAAGCGAGCGACGCCACGAGAATCCGATCGCACCCCATTTACTGCGGTGACGATGCTGCATTGCCATGAATTACTCAATGCTAACTGACCACCTTGCCCGCAATGGCATCAGCATGGCGGACTGACTTAGACCCCGGGCCTCAGCCTCGTACCAGAGCGAGTGAACTCGTCTTCGCTGCCATGCCATGCGCCGTCCGAGCCCATGCCATGCGCACCCGACCGATTCGGGTCCCGAGGTGAGGTGGGATGAGGTGAGAGGTGACAGAAAGGCGCACAGACTCCCATCCCATTTCCTGGAGTTTATATATTTATAAATATCAAAAGGCAGAAGCGTCCAAAAAACCATCTCCCGAGAAATCAGTCCGCATCCCAGCTCCCCCTTCCTCCCTCCCTCCCTCCCTCCTCTCTCCCACCCTCTACTCCCTACCATGCCCACTCCTCTCCTCTCCTCTCCTCTCCACTTCAGTTTCGCATGGTTCGAACGAGAGCTCCGCTGAGCTCGAATTCACTCGCTCTCTCGCTCTCTCTCTCTCTCTCTCTCTCTATTTCTGCAATGCCTACCTTCCTCGTTGGACGCCACTGCGGGCCTCAGCGCCCACGCCAGCAACCACGCCGCCTTCAGCAGAGGTAGCAGCTGCACCTGCTGCTGCTGCATTCTCTTGCTCAGGGTTTGGGTCTCGTTCGTGTTGATGCTCGTCTCCTTCCTCCTTCCTCCTTTGGCTCGTCCGCACGAGCAGCAGCAGCAGCAGCAGCAGCAGTGCTCACAACAGCAATGGCAGCACCAGCAGCAGCACTAGGCGGCCGGGCTGTCGTCTTGTCTGCACTCCATTCCAGTCCATCGCCACTCTCTACTGCAAGCTGCTACTTGCACTGCGCCGCTCTCTCACTCGTCGGATGTCGCTACCATTCTTTCATTCGCATTCGCATTCATCAACTGTACCACGAGAGAGAGAGAGAGAGAGAGCTCTGCTGAGACCTCAGGGCGACATCGTTCCCTTCCCTTCCTTTTGTCTCTTCCTCGTTTTCTTTTCCCTCGTGGAGGGTATTTGCTGCCAGTTCCCCGCGAGCTTTTCCTGGCCGCGGGCGGAATCTTTCCTCCTGCGTAACGTTCTCTTGCGCATCCCTCACCCGCAGGCACGACGGGGTGCACGGACGGGCGAGGGACGACATGGGCCGGGTTGGGCTCCTTCCGAACCCGACCCCACCTCCGTCGGTTTCAGGTTGGATAACTCGGGTCGGGTCGGGTCGGGTTTGGGTTGGCTTGGCTAGGCTAGGCTTCCAGTGGAGGCTTCGCGGGTGCTGGTCACGGCTGGCTTTACAGATGAGGACCCGGGATTTGACCGGTCAAAGCCTGCGATGAGATGGTGTGATGTAATTATGTGTACGGTATATTCTCTGCTCGTACTTTTGGGTATGTTGGTAAATTAGGGCAGAAACCTTAGGGCCGAAGCTAAAACCTTCTCCCAAGAGAACCAAAGTATGACATGTGTTGCTTTCGCTTTTCTGGTTTCTATGAAAGTCCATGGTACGATATTTAAACTTGTTCCCTCATCGCCCTTGAATTTATTAAAGTTTGTGAAAACTTCTTATAAGCTACATCCATATTCTGTAACGATATCAATACATACTTATGGAGATTAAATCTTTGATGTATCAACTACAAATATTTACCAGTCCGGATCAGTCCGGATCAATGAGAGGTATTCATTTTGAATCATTTGGAAGCAATTTTAAAATTGGATTGTTTAAACGCGTACAATCATTTTTTGAGTCATGACATCATATTTGCATAAGTTTCATAGTACTTAAAATTTCTAATTTGAAAAATCTACCTATTCCCTCTTGGACATTCTATAGTTGTAAAGGTTGGCACTATTGTAAAGCATTTAGCATCCAGCATGGATTTATGTACAACTTTTTTAAAAACCTACAAGTTATGTTCTCTAGTTTCTATGATATATTATTATTAGAATCTATGTTTGATTATAATTTATTATTTACACAATAAATTGCAAACCAAATCTGTAATAAATAAGACACACTCTTTTGCAATGCAGAATATTTACCTCACTTTTGGAAATTAATATAAAAATATGTGAATATGTTGTGCTCAATAATTATTCCGACTGGTTAAATCTGTAACAACAAATCTAGGCTTAGTAACATGGTTTTACTATCTTTTTCCCCTACGATTCCGTCAAAATTTTGCAATCTATTAAAATGTTCATAAAAAAAGTTTATCATTGAAATTCAGGTCTGTGTCCAATTCATAACTAAAATTTTTTTTTTCAAATGATAATTTTACATCAATTATTTGAAATACTTATTCATATTGATACAATTTTATTTTCATAATATGTATATATAACTTAATATTTATAACCGTGGTAACTTCTATCTTAAGTGAAATTGAAAGTTCAACTAAATACTACATTCAGAGTAAAAATAAAAAAAACTAAAATAAGAAACCTTGAAAATCTATCTCAGAAAATAATCTTCATCTTATATAACTCAAATTTAAATAATTTTAAAAAGGGTGAAAAATCTGTAACTTTAAAAAATACATTTTATAAAATAATCTTTTTTGAATATTTTTTTAAATTCAGATATTTTTAGTAAATTCTTATGATAGATTTAATTTCATTTAAGCTTTCACTTCAATTTATTATTCAATTATAAAATTTAATTTATGTGAATATTTTAAATTAAATTCAAATATAAGTTATGATATTTCAAAGAATTTTAATTTTAATTTATATACACATAAGAAAAATCTGAAAAAAATTTAATTCAAAATATATTAAAATTTATCATTCAAAAATAATTTAGTCTTATTTTTCTTGAGGACTCTTGTTTTTTAGAAATAATTATTTTTTCATAATATTTTAACAGATAAAATTGTAAAATTTTTATTTCAAAAATATTTTTGTAAAGTATAAAATCTGATAGATATATCCATGATATTGAATTTTTTGAATAAGTATATTTTAAAATCATTTAAATATAGTAATTATTTTAAAAATATATGTTATAATAAGTGATAAAAATATATATTTTTAAAATTAATTTCTATCACATAAATCAATTTTTAAAAGATATGTAGAGTTAAAATAAAATAAAAATATTATTAAAAAAATTTGTTTGATAAAATAATTATATAAAAAAGTGTGTTTTGTAATTGATAAGATTATATATATGACATGAATTTAATACTCTTGCTCAATCTCTTCTCCTACAATTCTCTTACATTCTCTAGCGGCCTTTTTTTTTTTTTTTCCATTCTCTGTTCGTACTAGATACCGATCTCTTTCCCCAGATTGTATCAAGTACACGAAATTGAACGTTCACGGATGACGTTGTTGTGTCCATGATGTAATTTTTTTTAAAACAAAAATTTCTTCTAAGTAAAATTCTCCCTTCATCTTCATCAACATCAGCAACATAAATTTGATAGTTAAATACCTTTAAATTTTAAAAATTATAGATTAAACTAAAAAATTCTAAATACATTGATTAATTACATAAGTTAACTGAATACAATTAGGATTAGACAAGATACCAAACTCAAATTATGTGTGGGGTTTGTAAATATTATACATAACTTTACACTTCCCAAAAATGCAGTAAGGAGTACTTGAACAATTCATCAAGCTGGTGAAAGAATTGACCCTCGGTGCGTCCACTGATGTTAACTTAAACATAACAAAGAACTTCTGATTCCCTATGGATAGAGGAGTAAGAAGAATTCCAAATATGGAGTAGCTGTAGTAGTAGATAGAGATTGCGAGAAAGTGTCGTCGGCTTTGATAAGGTGTACGTTCGAAACGAAATGTGGATTGATGGATTGGCGATGAGAGTAAGAGTAAGAAGACGAGCAAAGTTGGCCGTCATGAAGCAGCAACTAGCAAAATTCTCACCCGACCATAATTTTCATCTCAAAAAATTAAAAATCTATGTGATTTGAGAAGTAGTGTTTCTAAAATATTTTCTATTCGCTGAAGACATGACATATTCATACAGACATATGTGTATGATAAAAACATGTAAACTTAAATAATACTAAATATATTGTAAAATAAAGGATAATATTATACTTTTAAATAAAAACAATAATTACGACTCATAAAATAATCATAAAAAGTAGTAAATAAATAATTTTATAATCCAAAATTAATATGTAACTAATATAAATAAATTAAAATCTAATAGATAGTAAAAAATATTAAATACAATATAAAATATTATAAAATAATTTATTTTGAAATAAATATTAATAATATAAGAAATTATTTGTATCTCAACATTTAAATATTTTCAAAATTAACAAGTAAATAATAATTAAAAATTTTAATAATAAATTAATGCAAATAAAAAATTTAAATATAATTAATATAATTAAATAATTTTTTAAAAAATAAATAATTCAAAATTGATTCTGAAATGATGATTCTGAAAGGATGATTAATTAATGATTCCGAAATTAATAAAAAAATTAAAATGGAATAAAAATAAGAAGTTAAATAAAAATTAATTTATTCTTAAATAAATAATAATAAATTGATTAATAAAAAAATTTGCTATTAAAAAAAATTTATTATATAGTAATGAATTTTAAATATAATAATTTATATTAATATACATTTTATCTTTTTAACATTAAATTCAAGAATTGATAAAGTAATTATTCTGAAATTAAAAAATAAAAATTAATAAAAATTTAATATATAGTTAATAATTTATAAATTTGTTATCAATAAAAAGAATAAAATTAATAGGAAAAAAATTTAGTGATGAATAATTAATTCTAAAATATATTATTAACTAATTGATGAATAAATAATTTGAAAATAATTAAAAGAATAAATAAATACCAATATTTAAATTTATAACATTATAAATTGTAATAATTATAAAGATTAAATTATTACTTAATTTAATCTTTAAAAAAATAGTGTGTGCAATTTTAATTGAAAAGAACGTTATAGTATTGTCATACCATAGTAAATCTATTCAAAATTCAAAATAATAAATTATTAGAATCAAATGATCCATAAATAATCAAAAATGATTTTTTATCAATTATTGTATCTTAATTTCACATTTCTAGCTTTGACTAGTGTGTTTTATAAGATGTGATATCACACATATATATAATCTGGTAATTAATGAAATGAAAACTTCAGAATTAATGCAATACATATAATAAATTGTTTTGCACAATTCACACATAATTATGGTTACAAATTACTTACATAATGTCAACAAAATGTGAATATTTGTGTTTGCATTCCAGTATTCACATTTTACCTTTATTTTATATTGACTCAATGAACTAAATAAACAAGCATCAAATGTTTTTTCAATTGTAAAATCTACAATCATATTATTAAAAATAATTATTTTTTGCTTGAATATAAATATGTTTACATTATCTACATCTATTTAATTATAATCCATGCGCATACTTCATATGTCAATTTGCCGTATGCATCCACACACAAAGTAACATTATGAATGATTTTGATTTTACATACAAAATAAGTACAAGTTGATCACATGTTACATTCAAAATTGAATTACATTAGAAAAAATCAGCAATGAAAATCTTGATGAATAAATAAACCAAAATAACATGTAGTTTTAAAATACTGATTGAAGTGGATAGAAAAGTTTGAATGCATGATGAAATTTAGTCAAAGCTTTGATTTTGTCAAAGGCTTAATGTTTAAAAAACATGTATATCTCGCTTAAAATAAATATTATTTCAATATAATGACTGTACAAGATGAAAAAAATAAATTTAAGTCATTTTTTAAATTTCAAAATGATTTTCACATAATATTAGCTTCTATTTGTATTATGATCATATTCTTCAAAAACAAGTCTTATTGAAATTGAAAAATGTAGAATAAAAAAATGTAAAACTGAACACAAATGATTTAGAAATGGTTTCTTAAACCAAATTGAAACCCAAAGTCT